TTGATGTTTTGTTCCTTTATATTTTGTTGAAAGCCACCCAGAGTGGCTGGAGTAACAGTCAGATGGGTGGGGTGTAAGTAATAAATCACCACCACCACCATGGCCTTTCAGCAAGCACCAAAACAAAAGTACAAGAAATGTTCACTGCCAATCTAATGCCCAATTTGTTTCTAATGAGACAACTCTATGGGGGAGAAGAGAACTAAAATTGGGAGCAACAGTGTTTTCCAGATTTCAGTAATGCAGTGAATATTTAAAAATTCTCTCAATTCTGGCATATCTATGCTGCAAATTTAAACCAATTTGAAACATGTTTATCTGTGTTTCTTTCAAAGATCCACAGGAATTGCAGTTTGTGAAGGGTACTGAGATGTCTGTGGTAGAGATCCCCAAATCCCTTCCTATGATTTCCTGCTTCAGAGCCCCTTCAACTATGCGATCTGGGAAGCTTACAGTTCAACATGTCATATGGAGGTTAGGGATGGTGGTGAAATTTGGTTTTGTCTGCATTTCATTGTGAACCTGCTTCATTTCTACTTCTTGAAGCAGTAGAAATGTACCACAGAGGGCTTTTACAAACCATTGATCCAATCCAATAAGACAACCACACCATCAAATTCCCATACGGCTTGCCTGCCAAGGTACAATTAGTTAATACTGTTGTATCTGTATATACCAGTAGCATTAATGTGGTATACTCATTTATCATATTCTCTTTGCTGCAGCTTATCCTTAATCTTTGTAAATACAAATCTGTATCAACAGGAGATCTTCAGAGACAGCGTCCCCAGTGTGTACTCTCAGAATCACTATAAAAACAGTGTGAAGAGATCAGCCAAATGCAGAAGAGTGCTTAAGCAGTAAGGCAGAAATTGGCTAGAAAAAGGCAATTGTCTTGCAGTAATTGCTCACATGCTGTACTGTAACTTTTTGTACTTTTATTTTGCAGTCAGTAGAATCATGTGGATTAGCTTTTCCTGGACTTCAGACAACAGATGGAGAGGAGCAGGAAAAGGGTTGCATGTCTGAATTCACTCTCACCTCCACACGAAGAAAACTACAAAATATGGACTCCTAATTTTTAGTTTCTTTAAAAATGGCACATAGCCCTTTTAAAGCTACGTGAAAGGGGAACCAGCATAGAGTTTGCATTCCAAAGAAAATTATCAGATCGTAGTGAAGTGTAAAGAAAGAAAAAGAATAATTACACCCTGCCACCTTTTGTTTTTTTTAAATGATATTTATTAAAAAATTTAAAATTACAAAAAAAACAAAGAGAAAAACAAGGAAAAAACAAATAGCAATTAAACAATACAAATTGATAAAAGTCAAAATCAAAAACAAAAACAAAACACATAGCACATCAAAATCAAAAAGCAAAATAAACCACAAAAATTTAAAAACAGATCCAATATTCCCAAATCCTTAACAGTCATTACCTTATTTCACCGACCTCCTCACACCTCCCTTTTTTGTATTCTAGTTGTTGATTATCACAGCAAATCCTTTCCATTTTTCATAATATTCTGTCATTAAATTACCTTAATATATTTTAACCTTATCTTACCATAAAGAACCCTAAAACTTAAAACTTAAATCTTATTTATACCAATTTCTCATAACCATAGCATATTCTTACATAGTTCTTTTTAACATTTCTGCTAAAGCCAAATAATTCCGTTCCAACATTTTTCTAATACTCATTAATTTTACAAAACATTCCTAAATAGAATTTTTAAAACTTTCTTCCAATCTTCATCCAACGTCTCTTCCTCCTGGTCTCGGGTTTTGTCAGTCCTTTCTATCCCATCCATCTAGTTCATTAACCTGGTAATCTTATGTCCGAGGCCCTTAAGTCTCTTCCATGTCCCTTCCGCAGATCTACTTCATATTTATACCTGTACCTTACTTTGTCTCCTGCTCCTTTCACTCGTGGAGACTCCAGCTTGACAATATTTTTGTCCCTTCTCGACAGATCAGCCCCTTTTCCATAGTCCACACTGAACTCCATGTGGTATTTAAAAGCATGTTTCAAGGTCCCTCCAAAGTTGAGGACCCCCACAACTCCAAACTCCTCCCGGCCCAAAGCCAGACTTGAAAAGTCAAAACATCCCTACATAGGGGGGTCTATCCAGCCCTCCATCTCCAAGCCAAACAAGACTCTATCTCTCCAAATCTGGCTTTTTCCAGGTTCATTTGTCAGATCCAACAACTCATGTTCCTGCTGGGCCACAGCTCCCTCCATCTCTGCCACCCGAGGTCCAGCAACAACCTCCTCCCTCATCTGATCTGTCAGAGCACACTCCTGAATTGATTCCTGAGTGGGTTCTATATAGATACCCACTACCTGTCCAAAATTTAATGGTAAGGATTTGCTGAACTAACAAATTGAACTGGAATACAAAAAAGGGAGGTATGAGGAGGTCCGGGGAAATAAGTATAGGGAAGATAGGTTATGGAAAATTAATGTCTTTTTAACTGTTTATTTGGTATGTTTCTTTTTATTTTTATTTTTTCCTTTTTTGGTTATATTTTTTTTAAAAAAACTTTATTCTTCTTTTTGTATTCTGTATTTTTTGTATTTTTTGAAACTTTAATAAATATCATTTAAAAAAAACAACAAAATTTCTGATCGCAACAGTCATCAAATCCGTCTTCTCATGTAACTGTTCCAATAAAGCAGTTGTCTTGCAGAAAGCACGCACCAGAGCCTCCGAGTACATTGTTGTGCAAGGTCAAAGTCTGATCCCACGATCTTAATCTATTGCAGCTGCAAAGCTCCCCAGTTCAGATTTAATAACAGTTTCACAAGCTCCCTCTAGGGGAAGAACTTCTATTTGTATCCATCTCTTTTTTTCTTTTTTTTTCTTTTTTAAAGCAGATCTAACAACAAAGTTTCCTTTTTCAGATATTTTGTCAATATTTTGTTCCTTTTAGATGCGAAGAACAATGGAATCACTATGTTTCTCTTCTTTTAACTGTCTGTCAAAAACGTTTGTCTATAGGACTTCCGGGGTGGCACCACTGGCAATGGCGGACTCCCTCTAAACTGGAGGGACTAGCTCCGTGGGAAACGGGTCTTCTCCGCTACGGCGAAGCGGGGACCCTTTTAAAAATCACAGGCGGATGAAGCCTGTGACCATGGGACTCGGCGGGCACCATTAGCGCCCGCCCAACCTGCTAAGGAACCCACTAACGGGCTCCGAAGTGAAGAGGGGGAAGTGGCGCGGTGCTGTGAGTCAACTGCTATTTCCGTGGAGCGAAGCCGCATAGCCGTTGCCGGAGAGCGCTGCCTTTTTCCTGGGACAATTTGGACTTTAAAATAAGCACCCGTGAGTACTTAGACTTTGAACAATTGGACATCAAATAAGGACTAACGAGCAGAAAAGAATTGGATTTTAAAAACTTACTCTAATTTGGTACAGAACGGGAAGGTCTAAACAGGAAGTCAGCCTTCCGTTCCTTTGTAAACAGAATAAAGCAAAGACAATTTAAACTAGAGCTCAGAAAATCGTCTTTAAAGGATTGGATTTCACCATTTAAAATTGTGGAACCCCCCTTCGACAGCAGGAGAAGGGGGGGATCTTTTTGGACTGTTTAAAGTGACTTTAAAGTAAGGTAACTTTCCTCCGTCCTGATCCTGGAGCGGGGTGTCAGGACTGACGTTTGAAGTTCATTGACCAAAGACAAGTGTTTTTGACAGATAGCTAAAAGAAGAGAAACATAGTGATTCCACTGTTCCCCTTCGCATTTTAAAGGAATATATATTGACAAAGTATCTCAAAAAGGGAAACTTTGTTGCAAGAACAAATAGAAGTTTTCCCCGTAGAGGAGTCTGTGAAACTGTAACCAACTCCAGGGAGCCGGCAGCTGTTACAGATTACAACCGTGGGAACAGGCATCTGACCTTGCAGGACAATGTATTCAGAAGCTTTGTTGTGTGCTCTCTATAAAACAAATGCCCTACTGGAACAATTACACGAGAAGGTGAATTGGATGGCGACTTCGACTAGAAATTTTGAACAGGCAGTGGGAAATTTTGAACAGACAGTGGGAAAATATGTGGAGCCCACTCAGGAATTAAATCAGGAGTGTGTCTTGACAGAACAGGCCCAACAGGAATATGAGTTTTCGGATTTGACAAATGAACTTGGAAAAAGCCAGATTTGGAAAGGAAAAGTTTGGTTTGGCTTGGAAATGGGGGGCTGGATTGACCCCCCTATGCTGGGACGTTTGGACTTTTCAAATATGGCAATGGGCCGTGAGATGTTTGGGTTTGTGGGGGCTCTTAATTTTGGAGGGTCTTTGAAACATGCTTTTAAATACTACATGGAATTCAGTGTTGAATATGGAAAAGGGGCTGATCTGTCGAGAAGGGTTAAGAACATTGTCAAGCTGGAGTTACCACGAGCAGGAGACAAGGGAAAATACAGTTACAAATATGAAGAAGAGCTGCGGAAGGGACATGGAAGAGACTTGAGGGCCTCGGATATAAGGTTGCCAGGTTAATGGGCTAGATCGACGGGATAATAAGGACTGACAAAACCCGGAACCAGGAGGAAGGGACGTTGGATGAAGATTGGATTTGTTTGTATCTCTTTTCTCTACCATTAGAACTGTTTTATAAAATTGATGAATGTTAGAAAAATGTTGGAATGAAATTACTTGGCTTTAGCAAAGATGTTTAAAGAATTATGAAAGAATATTATGGTTATGAGAAGTTGGTAAGGATAAGATTTAAGTTTTAAGCTTTAAGGTTTATTTTATAGAAAGATAAGATTAAAACAGTTTAGGGTAATGTAATGACAGAATATTATGAAACATGGAAAGGATTTGCTGGGATAATTAATAACTAGGATACAAAGAAAGGGAGGAGGAGGAGGTCTAAGAAAGAAGGCAATGACAGTTAAGGATTTGAAAATAACGAATTTGTTTTTAAATGTTTTTAACGGTTTGTGATGTATTTTTGTATTTTTCTTTTTTTTGTGACTTTTTTTTTTGAATTTTTACTCATATGGTGGGAAGGGGTTTGTTTGTTTTTTTTCTACTTTGTCAACTATTTTATTTGTACTTTCTTCTGCTTCTATTTTATTTTTTCTTATTTGTAACACTTTGAAAATTTCAATAAATATCTTTAAAAAAACACACGTTTGTCTATAGTCAATGAACTTCCCGAAAACATCTGTCCTGACACCCCGCTCCCAGGTTCAAGACGGTGGAAAATTACTTTTCTTTACACTCTCTTCTGCAGGTTTAAACAGTCCAGAAAAAAATCCCCCCTCTTCTCCTGCTTCCAAAGGGGGTTCAGTAATTTTAGATGATGAAAGTTGATCCTTTACAGACGATTTTCTAAACTCTAGTTTGCCATGTCTTTGCTTTAATCTATCTACAAGAAACGGAAGGCTGACTTCCTGTTTAGACCTTCCCACTTCAGTGCCAAATTAAAAGAAATTTCTTAATCCAATTTTCCGTTCTACTCATGGGTCGTTGTTTAGAGTCCAATTGTCCAAATTTAACCTACTCACGGGTAGTTGTTTTTGTAGCCAGATTGCCACAGGAAAAAGGTAGCGCTCTCCGGTAACGGCTGTGCGGCTTCGCTCCACGGAAGAAGCAGTTGACTCTCAGCACCGCGCCACTTGCCCCGCTTCGCTCCGGAGCCCGTAATTGGGTTCCTTTACGAATTGGGGGGGCGCGAAAGGTGCCCGCCGAGTCCCACGGTCACAGGCTTCACCCGCCTGTGATTTTTTAAAGGGTCCCCGCTTCGCCGTAGTGGAACAGACCCGATTTCCGTAGAGCTAGTCCCTCCGGATCAGAGGGAGTCCGCCATTACCGATGGCGCCACCCCGGAAGTCTCACCCGGCCACCTTTTGGCAGAATGCAAAAAAAGTTTGCTTTCTTTGTATGTATGAACATAAATATTTTTATTTTTGCATTTGAACTTTGGAAAAGAGAAACTGTCCCTCCTCCAGCCCCTTAGAAACCCCATATTTCAGTTTCTGAAACCCCGCCATCTGCTTCCACAGTTTAAAATCTACTTGCACTGTCTCATGTGCTAGAGATATTATTTCATAAAATAACACAGGCTACTGAATTCTGTACATTTATGAATTTCTTATCAACTACCAAATCATGAAATCCTTTCCTAGGGTCATGGAGGGGGTCTGTGTCTTTCCATCACCCATCTCCAAATACACAGGATATGTATTTCTACATATAGTGTGCATTATAACATAGCACTGGGGCCTGCAAATGGTACCCACGGATACCATCAGACAACTTTTCCAAGCCCAACAGGAGCCGCTGCCACTCCCAATTTATATTTTTTTATTTGTCAGGAAGGGATCTGTTTTTTGGCAGTGTTTTATTTGTTGGGGGTGTGTTCTACCGGCTGCTGTGGGTGGGGAGTCTCAGCGATCACCAAATTTTCTTCTGTAAAACAGTTGTTTTGTGGTGCTTCCACATGCAGAAAAAAGATAAGAGCCGCTTTGCACATCCATCTGTGATGCCAGAGTCAACAGGTATGCAGAAGATGCATCTCTGAACATGTATTTGTGTGCTTACAACACATTTTAAGGTACATGTCTTCACTTTGATGTGAGTACCAGGTTTGTACAGGTGAAACTCGAAAAATTAGAATATCGTGGAAAAGTTCATTTATTTCAGTAATTCAACTTAAAAGGTGAAACTAATATATGAGATAGACTCATGATATGCAAAGCGAGATAAGTCAAGCCTTTATTTGTTATAATTGTGATGATCAGAGGACACCCTGGTTCAAATCCCACCCCATCCCCAGCCATGAAGCTCACCGAGTTATTTGGGGTCAGTCATTCACTGAGCCTGCTCTACCGCACAGGGATGTGGGGAAAACAAAATGAAGGAACAGAACCATGTAACACCGCCCTGGGATCCTTGGAGGTAGGTGGGATAAAATATAATTAACATATTGCAGAATTCTGCCCCACAGACAACTTGAGTATAAGTTCCTAGTTACCATTTACCCCCCCAAAAAAAAATCAAACACAAAATGCATGCATATGGAAATCAGATCAAATACTTTTATTTCTTAAGCTCCAGTGTTTTAACTGTAGCAGCATTTCTCAGAAAAACAACTTTCTCCCCTGTTAAATATATACATATACATATATGTAGAAACATTCTTTTAAAAAGTAGACATTGGTAAATACATAAAAAGGCAATTTTAGAAGAACAAAATATCAATTTTTTAAAATCCACCCTTGTTTTTTAAAAAATAAATGTGCGTTTATAGCATGCAAAGCAGCAATGTGTGCACTTGTCTGCTTTGTTTCTTAGAGACCTTTCAAAAAACTTTAGCTGCTAGAATATTTTAATTTCTTAAGCCAAGACATGGCATAGCTGAAAATGGCTTTAGAGCAGAGGCGGGGAGCGAGTCACCCCCCCCCCCCAGATGTCATCGGGCTCCCCATGCCCATCAGCCTCAGCCACCATTAGCAATGGTCAGGAATGATGGCAGGTGTAGTCTGTAATCCCTGGAGAACACATTTCCTACTCTGTTTTAGAAGGGGAGCTCCAGTCCCAGCCACTAGTCATTAATGAGTATTCAGATTTGTTTGTTTTTTAAAAAATGAAGACTGCACTCAGAGAGCATCCCACTGGTGGCTGTCAGAATCTTCCCCAGCTGCTTCACAGATTAGCTTGTGAGAAGCCAGCCAAGTTCATGGTGACATCCTAGCCTCTGGTCTAGATTGCAAGGAAATCAATTCAAATAGGCATCAAGGGAGACCAGTCTTTAAATGTAAGCCTGTCCCCAATTGTGTGCACAGTGGTTGGTGAGGTTTAAAGCAGAAAACATGATGACGAGGCTCCTGAACCCTGCCCTCCCCATTCTACCCAACACACACACCTTCTTACAGAATTACAATCTGGCTAGGGAAAATGACCTCAGGAGCCAGACTACTGGTGTGCACATGTAGGGCTGGAACATAGCCAGAAGCATGGTCCAGGAAGGCCCCACCCCCATGCCTCTTTTGTATTTTGAATCATATTCCCAACAGAATAAAAAATACTAGCCAGCAGAGTTTTGGGCTGGGTCAGTTATATTTGGTTGATTTTAGACCTTAAGGTCACAGGCATGTATTAACGGTTACTGTCCTTAAGGTCACAGGCATGTATTAACGGCAGCAGCATAAGGGACACGGCTACAGATCTCCCTCTCGCAGCAACTTCTGTCTTCTCATGCATGCATTCTGCAACATTAGCAAGCACAGATGCTGCTGTGAACTGGATCCCTGATTGGCTAGCTTATGCTGCTTCTTTTTCAGTCACACCACTAGTAAAAGCGTGAGCTGATTCCAAACTGCTTTTCCCAGAGGCCTATTTTCCAACTCGACTGGGAGACTGCTTCACGCTTTCTTGTGATAGAGGGTTTCGTGCATAAAATGTTTTAAAATGTGCAGTGATTAAGCAGGCATGTGGCATAACCAACATGCTACAGACCCTTGCAGCATGTTCCTGTAGTGGAAGACTTGTGGTTATCCACCAGTCGCTTGGGCAAAAGCAACTCTGATCTACGAATAGAAAGTTGGGTCCAATTCAAAAAAAGCTATGTCACTAGTTCTGTGCACAGTTCATCCAAGGCAAGCCCTGTCCAAACATACACATCCAACAAATTTCTGAAAAGGAGGGATTTTCAAAAGCAGCTTGTAGTAAGGCATTGAGCAGGGTGGGTGAGGGTGCATCCCTACTATTCAAAGGGGGAAACAATTGGCCATGAATACTTGCCCTAGTCCTGAGCATTCTGCTGAACCCATGTCTGGGTTGTAGCACTTCAGAATGTAAGAGGGAGGTTTACATTATATATCAAGTGTGATGGAACCTCCAGATGTTGTTGCACTAAAACGCCCATCATCCCCATCTAGAATGGGCACTGGTAGAGTCCAATATCTGGAGGGCCACAAGGTTCCCCACCCGTGTCCGTACAAAAATTCTATTGGCAAAGAAATCTAGACTGTACGGGAACCTAGCCTAGTCTTCTGCCTGACATGATGGGACAGGTGTAGAAATCAATTTTAAATTTCAGTCCTCAAGGTTATTGCTAAACTCTCCTCTGGTTTGTATGACACTCTGGAATGTCTTTTCCCTCTACATTCCAAAGGCTGAAAATGCTACATACACACTGTTAAGAGAATGAAAAATAATCCTATTGATTTTGCAACCTAATATCCATTTTCAGTTGAACAAACAGGCAACTAGCCATGATGCACACACATTCGTCTTCCAGCAGTAGCTGCTATAATAATTCTGTTTTCCCCAGTCACGTAATGCACTAACCCTGCTTTTAGCCAACATGCCTCTAGCTCTCATACATCTCCAAAAAGGCAACAGCAAAGATTATTCCCCAACAATAGGAAGTTACTCAAGGGCCAAGTTACTAAACGTATGCTGGGACTGCTGTCTGCATTTATATCCAAGTGATCAGTGCCTGTATTCAGAAGGGCAATGAAAATCAGCATGCAAGTACATTGCAGAAGAACATTTGACTGAAGGTATTGAGTGGTACCTTTAAAAAAATCCATCAGCTTCCTGGAAATCATTCAGTGAGAAGTATTAACAGAATGGTTTTAAAACTTAGTGCAAGCTTGACAACAAATTCAATATTTACTCGGGGTAGAAGCATTGTAGTTAATGGACATGTTTAGCTTAGGTTCATTAATTTCAATGGGTCTACTCTGTGTAGGATACAGTGGAATACCACCCAAAACCTCCTTCTGCTCCAAACATATATGCTAAAAAAGTCGAGAAGCAAGAGACACATGATTTTGAAAATGCTTAAGTAGTGATGCAAGAGGTGTTTTACAAATTCAACTGTGCACCTCTACAATCAATATTTGACCACCAGGAACAGAATCCTCTTTTTGCCAGAGAATACAAACACACACACATGGAAGAGAGAAACCCACCTAAATCAAAATAAATGCCACAGCAGGGTGAGGGGAGATCAAAATTTGTCTGATATAACCATCAAATGGCAGGAGGCTTTGGGACTGCTTATCCCTCCACAGGAAGACCTTAGGACACCTTCAGAAAGCAGATGATCATCCCTGTCAAGTAAAGGGCAATTCCAGGTGTAGTGCTTTGGCCAGTGATCACGGCAAGTTCTAGGGCAGACCTCCGTGTTACACCCAACCCTGAAGACAAGACTTGTGTCAGTTACTCCCCGGCTGCCCATCCCAGTAGGAACACTTCCCCCAAGTGGTGAGATCAGGCGCCTGTGCTGTGTGGACATACAATCACAACATGGTAAAAGTGACCCTACTCACCATGTCAGGATGAGGTGGGGAGATGAAGGGGAAATTTACATGGGGTGCTCTTTCAAGAACCAGCCCCATATCACGCACACCCTGTAGTTCTGCCACAAATATATTATAAACAGTGCTTTTTTGTGACAGTACAGACCAGTATGGAGTACCATCACCTTTTTTTCCCTGCCCATGGTAGCCATTTTGTACTGAAACTCATGGTTCTTTTTAAAGATATGAGTACCGGCACCTTTTGGGTCTTTTCTGCACTCCCCCCCCCCACAAAAAAGCACTGATTAGAAAGATTTGGGATGGCGGCAAAAGGTAGCAGCCAATCTGCAAATGAGCAGCAGCAGCTCTAAGCCCACCATTACCCACCAAAGAAAGAAAAGGAACCTCTGAGGTATTTTTGTTTCACTTCTCGCTGCTGAGGAAGCAGACTGGAATAATCTGAAGCAGTTGTGCATTAGTATTTATAATTAAAGTGATCAGGTTGAGCTTTGGCACTTTCAAGCACAAAAGCAACCATCTACAACCCACAGACTTGGAGCAGCCTTCATCCCCATGGCCCCACCAGGTGTATGGAACTTCCATTCCCCTCAGGCTGATCTGCAGCCAGTCCACCAAGTGCATTGAGATTACTATGAAATAGCTGCTATTTATAAATAACTATTATTTATAAAGTGTATAGACCCAGGCACTTTGGAAGAGGCAGACCGTTACAATTATTTCTTATATATTGTTCAATTAAATCCCAACAGGATTATTTCTTCTTTTTTAAGTACCGTATTGACCCAAATCTAAGCCGCACCTGCAAATAAGCCACACCTATAAAATTCAAAGGGGGAAAAGAAGAAAAGACAATACCTGAATATAAGCCACTCCCTTAAAATTCTGCAGGCACTCACACCTGTAAATGGCAAATGTAGAAGAAAATCCTACGGGTACCATTCCCCCATGCTCCAGGGATGCTTCCTGGGGTGGGGGGGGGGAGCTGTGCTGCTTTGCTGGCGGCCTCCCCCCCACCCCCCTGACGCCTTGGGGGAGGCGTGGGAGCCACAGTCGGGATGGGTAGCATTGTCCCACACCCCCAACAGCCCTCGTGCTGGCATCTGGGGGGGGGGGGCGCTCTCTCCATTCCGGCCCTGGAAGGCAAGGCAGGGCCGCAGACCTAGCACAGCTGTTTCAGGGCCACAGACCTAGCACAGTAAAAGCCAACTTCTGTAAGGTTGCGAATTTAAGCCACACTTTAACTTTTCATGGTTGGAAGTGGGGGGGGGGGAGCGTGGCTTATATTCGGGCCAATACGGTATCTTGCTTTAGAATTGTACATTTCCCACATACAGGGATGTGTAGCACACAACAAACGGGACCATCCAGTTGCAATCCTGATTTGCTAACTATATATATATATATATATATATATATATATATATATATATATATAAATAATATATATCTATAATAAAAATACAGTGGTACCTCGAGTTACAAACGCCTCAGGTTACAAATGCTTCATGTTATAAACTCCGCTCACCTGGAAGAGTTACCTCGAGTTGAGAACTTTGCCCCAGGATGAGAACGGAAATCGTGTGCCAGCGGCGCAGCGGCAGCAAGAGGCCCCATTAGCAAAAGCACGCCTCTAGTTAAGAACAATTTAAGGTCAAGAACGGACCTCCGGAATGAAGTAAGTTCGTAACTAGAGGTACCACTGTAAACTGTACTCTTTGTGTGGACAAAACGTTTCTGGGACAGCACAAAAGTTGTACATGTTCATAAAAAAGCAGACACAAAGCTATCACAAGTGCTAGAACTAACTCTACATACCTTCATTTGTACAGGCCAGAGGGCCAAGAGCAACATCACCGCTCTCTCTTTTTTTGGGGGGGGGGCGGGAGTGAAGTTTGTCTCTGCCTCTGCAAAGGCTTTTTGGTTCAGAGGCATTATAACTGTACCGCAACAAAGAGCTGCCTTTTCTTGTCAGTCTTTTTTGCCTTTTCCTTTTTTAAAAACAACAACAAAAACAAGAAGTGATTCAAGGCAAGTTTTCCTAAGGAAATGTAAACTGATGCCCCACCCCTCAGCACACTTGCAGGAGTGAAATTTGCAAAAACACACACACACACACAGCTGCAAAAGGTCTTGGACAGGCACAGGGGTCTTAGTGGGGGAAAGTCACACAACACCTGTTCAGAAACTGAGATGCAATTTGGTTTTAAAGTACCATCAGAGGCATTTAAGGGTTTGCTAAAACACAGTTTTATGCAAAACTACGTACTCTTGGTCTTCTACTCGGTATTAGTCAAAACTGGTTGAAGTTTCCAGAAGTGCCTACCGATCTCAATACATTAAAAGGGAAATGACTCACATAAGGCAGTTTCTTAAGATTTCAAAGTCCTACGCCTCTTTGAGTATCCAGTTTCAGAAGAATTTAAGGAGCTGTTTAAGGATTGAGAATTCTTTACCACTATGACACTGGACAACAAGTGATGATTAAAGCCATTCTGGTTCAGGAGGGGTGGGGATAATGCTATTCACAATTTTTCAAAATAGTGCAGAAGCCTCTTCTGACACACACACAAAAATAACTCTTGTTCAGCTGTTAGAACTCTTAAAAGCCACCCAACTCACTGATATAGAAAAATAAAAGGATAAACATTATCCATCAATTTATATCGCATAATTTCTCTATACAGAACTTTGTTCAGCTAAAAGGCTCAATCTTTTACATTTTCAAAGAGAGGAAAGTCCAATCCACAAGAACTCTCTTTGCCCCTTGCCCCTCAGGGGCAGCCCTCAAAAGCATTTCAAGCCTTGTAGAACCCTGTACAAACTGGTCACAGTTATAAACTCCAAATAAAACTATAAATACTTGTTCAAGCCAAACAATCCTTGCACAATATGGTTTAACAAAAGCAGGGGGGAAGGTACAGAATCAATTTCTCTGGCATCTAAGAAAACACACACACACACACACACACACACACACACACAGCAGTCCCCAGGGGTGAATCTACCAGAAACCTTTACACAGTCACATAAAGAGCCCTGGAGAATTCCAGCACCCCCACAAAGGGACTCTGCCGTCTCAGAGGTTCTGGGTTGCAGCTGCAGCACCAGGACACGTCAGCACGGTGTCCCCTTCTCCAGTTCACGCTTTGTAAGTGCATATTTGAAGAATTCATACACAGACCAGGAAATGGCAGTTGAAGGCATCTGGTATATCACCCTTGCCTGGACCCCCTTAAAATACCCAGCGATGCCCCCCAGCTGGTACACTGTCCTAAAGGCATTGGCCATTCCAGAGAGATGTCCGCTAACGTTCACAGAACTCAACACCATGTTCTCTTGCGTGTTGAGGAGAGTCTTGCAGACGTCCAGGGGAGTCGTGGCAGCAGCCGCCACAGCCCCAGCCACAGCCCCCGATATGATGTGCGTACTTGGATTGTACTGTCGGCAGGGGTTGATCTGCTCCTGCATGAACTCATAGGTCATGAAGTGAATGGCTTGGAAGGGGATATTCATGGTGAGCTGGGTGCTGTAGCTCCGGTAGAAGGCACCCATCCCTTCCGTCCGATGCACCGTCCGGATGCACTCCAGGACCGTCTTGTACGGAGAGTTGTACATCTGCATGCGCTGCTTCACCACTGGCTCAGTGGGCAGGAAGGCACAGCGAGGTGTTGGGTGCGCCCCGAGCAGGGAAACAAAAGAAATAAGAAAAGCCAAATTAGATGCAATTCACAGATTTCGGCGGTGCGTACCAACCAATAACAGAATAGTAAATAATGGCCATTGTAATTTCCCAGATAATATATTTGAGGAAGACAAAGTCCCAAAAGTTTAATTTCAGAATTACAAGATCTGAAAAGTTTAACATTTTAAACTTGCAAAGCCAAATACACTAAAGTATCTGGCAGATTAAATATCAATCACCCAATCCCCTGTCAAGTTTAAAGTAGATTTCATTTGGATTCTCAAGGCTGCCAAGCGGGGACATTTGTCAGTCACAAAAGTGTCTGCATCAGACAGAGGCCACATTCAGACCTTACCTTTACAGCACTAGGGCGCCACCTTAAACAGTCACGGCTTCCCCCAACAAATGCTGGGCGCTGAGAGCTTTTAGGAGACCTCTATTCCCCTCACAGAGCTATTATTTCCAGCATGGTTTGACAATCAATGCCTCTTCACAGGGAACTCTGAGGACTGTAGCTCTGTGAGGGTAATAGGGGCTTAACAAACTACAGCTCCCAGAATTCTTGGATGGAAGGCGTGGCTGTTTAAAGTGGTATCATAGAACTTAAAAGCATGGTGTGATGGGAGCTGGAGTTGCCCTTTCTGAAACAAAACTAATGTAATTGCTCTAAATGTACCGTTTCAATTCCCAGGTGACCCTCGCAGAAATTTGGGAGTCATTTACCAGTCAGTACTGACAATGCTAGGGACGCGGGTGGCGCTGTGGGTTAAACCACAGAGCCTAGGACTTGCCAATCAAAAGGTTGGTGGTTCGAATCCCCGGACTGGGGTGAGCTCCCATTGCTCAGTCCCTGCTCCTGCCAACCTAGCAGTTCGAAAGCACATCAAAGTGCAAGTAGATAAACAGGTACTGCTCCGGCGGGGAGGTAAACAGTGTTTCCGTGCACTGCTCTGGTTCTCCAGAAGCGGCTTAGTCATGCTGGCCACATGACCCGGAAACTGTACGCTGGCTCCCTCAGCCAATAAAGCAAGATGAGCGCCGCAACCCCAGAGTCGGTCACGACTGGACCTAATGGTCAGGGGTCCCTTTACCCTTACCTTTTTACTGGCAATGCTGAACTGCCTGTGTCTCCCAATCTGCAACATTTCATTTACTTATTTGACTCCATTTGTGAATAGTTTCCCATAAAAACTCATGGGGGGGGGAATCAACAATAAAACAGTTTAAAATTAAGAAACAATTCAAAGCACTATGTAGGTCTTATGGGTTCCTGCCAATTTTAATTCTCCTTTCCTCCGCTCAACACCACGGAACTATTGATAGGCGAGGGCATTACCTTCAGCTGGATTCATAACACCATCATGGAGTAGGGTAGCTAAGCTCCCAGCCATTCCTGCACAAACATACAAAAAAGACAAGTCCCCTTTCACAAACCAATCCTCAACAATTCGCCTTTCCTTTTGCACACAAATGAGCTCTTGAATGCACAATACATAATCACCCTTATTTATGCAACATCATCAGGAATCACATTGCTCCTTTTAAAAAGAAAAAGAAAAACAGCCCCCACAACACTTTTATATAAAAAAGCCACAGTAGACATATGAAAGCATTCACCATTTGCAAAAATACAGCGCAGCAACTTATAAGAGACCATCTGGGGGAAGAATGGTTCTTCTTTGGCAGTTCGTTCTTATGAAATTCATCTGCGCAGTTGTGCAAAGCAAGTCTGTGTTTTAAACTGTCTACCTGCCCATACTGACTTCCAGGTACACCTACCTATGACGAAGTTGTTATGAAAAAGTCGGGGGGGGGGGAGGGAGCAACCGCAACCTCAAACCAAAACACAAGAAGATAAACCTCAAAAGATACTCAACAAAAGACATATTTGCACTCCCAATTTGCATTTCTGAATTAAGTCTTAACATATTTCAAATATGATACTGGATACGTAAAACATAACATTATTAAGATTATGTACAGCCATGACATGCTATTTAAAACACTTTTCTAAAGTGTCCCAATTGGATCAACTGAAAATAAATAAATCCTATTTGTTTCAGAACACTGTTGTTTTTTAAGTTTTTTTATCCCTCCATTATTCTTTTGTGGCTATGGCATCATGTTGTCATTCTGAGCAAGGGAAATATGCTAAGTGCTGCTCCCTTCAAACAATCCTTTAATGTGAGGGGAAAGGCAGGGGACAAATAAATATATAATCATAATGTTGGGGTATGAGAGAGATTCCCCAGCACCGAGAAGACACAGTTCATTAGGTTGTGACTGGCCACACAGCCAGCAATAGCTGACATGTCCCCTGAAATGGCCATGGGCAACTTTGTACCTGAAGAGACACTGGGTTGCATCCAAAGAGGGTCCTGTTCAGAATAGACCTACTGAAATTAATACACAAAGCTGACTTGGGTCCATTCATTTTAATGGGCCTACTCTAAGTTAGTTGAAAGCGACCCACTGTCTGCATCTGCTATATGCACTGGATTCTTTAAAACTGATTTCTGCATATTAAATAATATTTCAGAGGCACACTTTATATATAGATATATATTTAAAAAACACCCTGCATAATACTATACACATTGACTTGTATTTTAGACCACCAAGCCTGAAATACTGACTGCATTTAAATTGGATGTTTTTCTACATTAATCCATTAATCTGTGGTTACAAAGCCAGGCAGGTGCAAATTCAGAGAGTGAAGAATTTATTCCATGGGTTATTACTATAGTTCCCTCAAGAGTGGGAATATCAGCACAGGCCCCAAATAAAACCTCCCAAAAGAAAGGTCAGATACCTCCAAATACTGGGGGACAAAGCAAGAACAAAGGCATTTGGCTGGCTAGACCAGAACGTAAGCTTCTGAAGATGACAGCCAAGAGAGGGAGGCAGGCAGGCAGGCAGACAAAGAGAATCGGGACCTTCTCCGCTTGGACTGCTCCTCCAGCCAACTTTATGCTATAGATCACTTGTTTTAGTGTTTTATAATTCTAAGCCACCTTGGCAACAGAGGCTGATTCCTTAGGGCAGAGGTTTTCAACCTTTTTGAGTCCATGGCTCCCTTGACCAACTACGTTCTTTCTGCGGCTCCCCTGTGGGGCTCAGGAGTCCAGTTATGTCCCCCTTTGCCTGCAGAGCTGGCAGCCTCTCACCCTTCTTCAAACACCCGCCCTTGTGAAGTGTTCCCTCTCTGAGCTGCCCCTCCCCTGCCCCACAGGGGCCTGGGACTTGTCTGTCCATTCCCAACAGCAAGGGCTGGAGGACTGGCTGGCTGGGCTCCCTCACCCACTTGCTTGCTTACTCCAAGGCTGCCTCAGCTCCTGGCAACCAGCACCCCCTGGCCAGCCCCAGAAGCACCATTCGCCTGGGAAGCTTGTAGCCAGGGCTACAGCCACAAACAGCTGTGCAAGCCTTTGGGAGGCAGAGACGCAAGAGGGCATCAGAGGAGGGAGGGAAGGAAAGAGGGACCCCTGAGCATCATTCAAGGCACCCCAGGGTGCCACGGCACACAGGTTGAAAACCACCGTCTTAGGGTGAACAGGGCCCTGCCCCACCAACCCGTCTGCCGTCAGCCAGCCCCCAACTAGCTTGCCTTTCTACTTGAAACCAGTCTAAGGGGTGGCCATGCCTGTCAGCTTCCTCCTCCTCCTCCTCCTCCTCCCTGGTCTCAGTGTTGCGCTACAGAACTTAGCAGGGAGGCAGAGGATGGGGCAAAACTAGAGCGGCTCTGGCTGCACTTACTGTTGATCTCCCTGCCTCCTGCCCTACAGTGTCCCAAAGGCACCAGCAACCACTGCATCTTTGGTGCCCTGGCAGAAAGGCAATATATAAATGCAATGGCTAGATTTAATAAGATTAGATACTGATTTAGAAGCAGAAGCAATTTGTCCCCCCCCCCAAAAAAAGCCCTAAGAACCTGCTTCCCTAGAGGGCTACCCAAGCTTGACCAACAAGTTGCTTCAAATATCTGCTTCCTATGGCCCCAACCAGAGTTGCTCAGGGTCAAATGCTTCTCCAACATCTAACTTTTAGGGGCTCTGGAGCACTACGTGGCTTCTTTATTCTTCATACACGAGACTCTAACACTGCTGATGCCTGTGGAAAACAGACAAGGAGTTGAATGCAGCAAGAGAGCGCTTAGGCGGCCACCGGCGGAGTCTTCCCAGCGTCTTTTTTCCAGAAGCAGAAATGCAGGCGGAAGATGCCAGAGCGCAAGAAAAAAGTACACCATTTGAGAGGCAAGGGACCAGGATGGCACCCTGGGTTGGTTATGTCAATATACCGTTGGCCAGGTGGCTGTTCCCTCCGTGGCGAATAATGTCACTGAAACTTCGTTTCATTTTCTCATAGCAGGCAAAGTACAGGGCATGCGCTGGGCCGGCTCCCACCACAGTCACGTTGATCCCTCGCAAGGGTCTCCAGAAGCCTTCCGTCTGGATCATCTTCTTCAGGGCCTCAAACACACTTCTGTACTGGGCTTTGGGGTCGGGCTGCAAACTCTGCATCCGGGTCTAGAAAGAAAGAATTGAAGAAGCATGAGGAAAGCAGCCCTTGATGGCCCCCAGGATTAAGTTGAGGGCACCAGGTTCTGCCACTGAGCTTTTTTATCTAATCCAATCTAATCTAATCTATGCATTTTTGCACTCAAGTGCCACAAAGGCAGCCACACTGATAAAACAAAGCCATTACACTCAGCAGCAAAACAAAACAGAATAAAACTACTCAACTGACAGTGCATTTGAAAGGAAAAGCGCTACCTAGTCCACTTGAAAGAGGACTGCAACAGAGATTGCCATCTCTAGCTACCTTCCCAGTTAAACACAACATGGACCTGGGTGAATAAAAAAGGTTTTGCCTGGTGCCTAAAAACAGCCAGTGACTGTGCCAGGCATGCAATCCTGGGGGGAGCATTCCACAAACAGGGAGCTATCACGGAACAGGCCCCTTATTGAGTTGGCATATGAAGCCGGGACTCAGACAATGTCCAGGTTGGTTCATGCGGGGAGAGGCAGGCCTGGAGGAGCTATGAACTCCTAATCTGTGGAGACCCGTTTTAAAAATGAATAAATAAGTCAAGGAAACTTACACACAGGCTCCAACAGCGTGCCAGCAGGGGGCGCTATAACTCAGCCAAACAGGATAGCACTCTCTCCCCACAAAACCCGGACCCTGAGAACTTTATTGCTGTTACTCTCAATACAACAGAAGCTGCAAACGAGAACTGTATGTACTTGTCTCGCATGTCTCAGTAATGAGCACCCACTTTAAACAAGAGTAGAAATGAGTAGGACAAAGCAAGAGCCTTCTGCGGTTTCAGAGCCACATTATTCTGGGCCTGTCGTGCAAAAGCCAATTTTAATTTGTGCTGTAAAGATAATCATGCTGAGAAACGGTTTGGGGTAGAAGCAGCACAAGATCAAGTACCAGGGCAAAGTGACAAACTATAAATTAACATCATCAGATCTAGTTGGCACAGATATGAAATTATTGCTCCTCCAACAAAATGTGCAATCTTCACTCAAACTTCCCTCTTGTAAGATAGCAAATCTGGCACCATTTTAAAAAAGGAATCTGGGGGAGTTCGGAAGTTTCAGATCCTTTAACTTGGCTTCTGTCCCAGGTAAAGTGGCCGAAAGCATGGCACTAAAGCTGGAATCATTAAAATGAAGAGCAGGCTTTGGCAAGGAAGAATCAGCACGACTTCCAAACAGGAAGCTTATCATACCTAGCATTCGTTGAGGCCACACCTTGATGAAAGCAAAAGATAAAAACCCCACGGCCCGCCTAATTACTATATATGAATTTTGGAAAAGACTGGAATATTATGAGAATTGAAATTTTATTTCCCCCCCTACTTATATTGAACACATTTTGGGGGGAAACCCTGACACCCCCACCCAAGTATTTATATATGCCTACCTGGTTGAGAAACACCTATCTAAAATCAGGGATTGTTATAGAGGAGCTCATCCCAACCTACACTCTGCACACACCCCAGAATTACATTATTATAATCATCATCATCATCATCATCACCATCACCACCATCATCATCAGTATTGTCATTATTTTGCTCAGCAGGTGGCAGTGCACTGAGCACAGAACACAGAGAAAAAGCAAGTCTGGGTGCTGACTGCATGTATCATGCACCAGTTACTGTCAGAGTAGGACCTGGGAGACCAGGGTCCGAATCCCCACTCAGCCGTGAAGCTCACTGGGTGCCCTTGCACCAGTTGCTCACTCTCTGCCTAACCTACAGGGATTAAATGAGGAGGGGGGGAAGCATGTATGCCACTTTGAGCTCCTTGGAGAAAAACCTGCAGTGTAAATTAGCCCCAGAGAGCAAAAACAAATCCTTGTATTGTATTGTGGCATCCACAGTGACTCAGCAATCAAACCTATTGTTCTGGAGTGTCCTCTCTGTCCAGGCCTGAGCTCAAACATATGAAAATAATTGTGAGATTACAGCTAGCACACAAGCAAAGCCTAAAGTGTGATGCAGCTGCAAAAGGCAACAGGCACATGTGATTCGAAGTAAAAAGAACCACATTTCCAAGCCATGGAATCAATGGTGTCACTTTATTCCACACTAGCTACACCTCCTCTGGCACACGATGTATCCCTCTGGTGCCACACTTTCTAAAAAAGTATAGTCCGGGGTGTCCAACCTGAGGCCCTTGAGTTGTTTCTGAACTTCAACTTCCACCAGCCCCAGCCGTCATAGTCAGGGATGCTGGGAGTTGGGGTTCAGCACCATCTGGAGAGCTACAGGTTCCCCATTTCTGAAACAGAGAAAGTGGAAAGGGTTCAGGAAGAAGACAATGACGATGGTCAGAGGTATAAAACCAAGTCCTTAGATTGTGGAGGGTGGAAACATGATAGAATTCTTCAAGTCCTCCAACAGCGATCACACAGAAGAGGACACATCCGCACCATACATTTAAAGCACATCCATACCACTTTAACAGTTCATTTATCAAGGAGCTACAGTTTGCAGCAGCCTATAAACTACAGTTCCCAGAATTCTTTGAAGGAAAGCCATTCTCAAGTCCACCCACCTCACCCAACAACCCTATGATTCAAATGCTAATTATCGCATTCGTGCTTTTTGGAATCTGTGTCCGAGCGCATGATCTCAGGACAGCAAGACTCTGGGATGCAATTCAAGCTACTTGGCTGGAAGGAAGAACCAACGCTGCCAGTGCCGACTGGACTTGTCCCAACAGCCTAATGTCAGCCTGAGCAATGCAGATCACTGTCATTCTGTGCAAATGCTCATTAGCTCTCGCTTCCCTGCTCATTAAACATGTCTGAAAATGTACCTGCCCTCAAAGCTTACAAGTTTTGTGTGCATGTGCTAATGATGTTCCACCAAGCTACAGCCAAAAGGTATACAGTCAGGCTGTGCCATGGTCTCAGGTGCTCCAGCTCTTCAGTGGCAAAGCTAGGAACTCACTAGCCAGCCAAGAAATCTCCACCTTGCTGTTTTAATTGCTTAAGGCAATGCTTAAGTCACCTGGATCGTTTCTACTGGTTCAGGCCTGGGCTGTTTAAGTTGCCGTGAAATCAAAGCAGAGGCCCAGCAAGTCTACTCAAGCCCCACAGAGCTGCTTGCTTGCGTCTCTCCTTTGAAGAACGGCATTCCAAGCTGGAGCACAAAACCACTCTGAGCAGCGGGACACCATCTCTCGCTCCGCAGTCTCACAGCAGCTCTGCCTCAGCGAGAAGAGGGGGTTCCCACCACTTTGCCACTGTCAACAGCAAGGTGCAAATCCAGGCTTCCTTACTAACACAAGTACAGCAAATCCCACTTCAACACAACCACCTATTTTCAAGGATGAAAAAGGGATGCAATTCTAATCCCAGAAGATTGTCTCATTTGCTGCAAAGAAAAATGCAAGAGAAGAATTACAGCGGATAAACACCAATTTGCCAGCTGCCAAAAAACTTGAGATTGGCCTGTCATGTGATGAACACATAACCAGCCTTGGCACAGCCTTCCTAGAAGCAATTAAAGGAACTGTGTACTTATATCACATTTACGTTTATATCACATTTGCATGTATTTATGTATTTATTCATTTATTCCATTTATCTCCCAACCTGCCTCCCAAAGGGGCTTGGGCCAGCAATCTGGAAAGCAGACAAAAGCCATACCGATGCCTATGGGCTTCTCCAAGTCAATTTCAAGCAGTACTTTTTTCAGGGGGTACTTTAGGGTACACAGCACTGACACCTCTTTTTTGGTTGCTGTTAAAAAGTGTGGCACTTATTGTAACAGCTTCTATTGTCTATTGTATGAGGCAAACATGCTTGTCATTAATGCCTCCCAAAGCAGGCAAAGTAGTTTTAGGAGACTGATCCTGAAGATCTTACACACACACTTATATTATTAATAATTGCTTGATAATAATATTGCAGAAAATAGATAGCATCTATAATGTTAGTTTCAGGTGTTGAGGTGCTCCTGAAAGGTCAGACTTCTGCTCTAGGCTTTCCATGTCTTCCCCTGCCCTGTGGAACAGAATCCCTGTTGAGATATAAAGAGTGGGACACACTCTTTATACTTCCTGGAAACCACTGAAGATATTTTTGTTTCCAGAAGCTTTTCCTAACGTACGTGAAACCAACGTTATTATGGCACTTGTAAAAAAGGCTGCAGCCGGGGAGCAGCGTTGGGACCCCCAGAGAGCCACTGCCTGTCAGAAAAGTCAGTCCTGAGCTACAAGGTCCAATTGCCTGACTCTAGACAAGCTCCTTTGGGGACCCACCTAAGGTCATATTGTCAAAGGAAAGAAAGAGACAAGGAAAGAAAGTTGTGCATCTCAAGGACATAAAAATTAACACCCAACTTTAATAAGCACGTTTTCATACCCTGAAGTGCTCCAAACATTGGTCTGGAGACTGCCCTTTTAGATAAAATAAAAAGTGAAGCCACAATTACCAGGTTTATCATGGCCTGACAGATATAAAGGCAACAACTGAATTATGTAAGATGTCTTAGGGCCAGTTTTTTTGGGGGGGGAGGGCCAGTCCGAGAATGGATTTATTTTGAGGATTTGTGAGTATTGGGCTTTGCTTCCTTTTACACTCACAACAAAAACTTGTTAACTAAGCCCGTCATACAAAGCCAGATAACTTTCCAGGGATAGCTGGTCCAAGGGATAAAGGCAAAGGGGGAAATGGAGCAGGGACATTTTTGAAATATTTGAGCACCACACCCAGTTTAGTCACAAGGAGGTTTATGTAAAATGAATCCTTCAGCTTGTTTACACTATTACAAAAGACACCCCTGTCTGCAAGACAGATCTGAAAATGTAGGCAGATATCAGAGCCTGCTGTTCCTGCTATATACACAAACACTTCTCACGCATACACAACTGCCTGGATCAGGCAAAAAGTCTATTGAGTCCAGCATTTTGTTTTGTTATGAATTGCAAGTGGAACCTGGAGCAAGACGCTGAGGTGCGGAGGGCTCTAGTTCAGGGTTCCAGCCAGCCATGCCCATACTCCATTCCTGGATTTTCTGTTCTCCACCCCGCCCCCGCCCCCAATTTCAATATTTAGTGCACTGAATATGCTCAGTCCTCACTGGGTTCTCTTTTGAGGGGCAGGGGAAGCAAGGAATGCTGTCTCTCTGCAAATCATGGAGTGCCTGAAAGCCCACAGATACCTCCTTCTTGCGTGCAAACTGTGCCATTAGAGGTGTATGGGGCAGGAGCGGGAATCTCTAGTCATGAGGCCATTTCTCACCCACCAGCCCCACACATGTGATGTTACCCCGATAGATAGGATCCACTTTGGAAGAGCAAATTTGCTGTTACTACTGCACAGAATTGTTTTGCCCTTCAAAATGACCCCCCCCCCAACCAAGACAGCTTGACAGATATAAACACAAGCCATTTTTTAAAGAACTGCACATTAAAACTGCTTAAGAACACCCAAATGGAGCTTGCAGACCCCACTATGGTCCTAGGACAACAGTTTGAAAATATATTGCCAAGGGTGCTCTATCACTGAGCTACAGTCCTGGCTTTTGCATGACCAAGATATCATGTAAGTTGTTAAAATGAATGAACACCCAGCTCTCTGTGCAGCACCCTGTGCAGGGACTGCATTTGACAAATTACAACATTACAAATTACAACATTTCTGGCAAGTCCATTCACTTGCAAAACATACTTTCTGCTTTGAAGGGAACTGTGACACTTAGCAGCTCTGCTCAGCTGCTCTGACTTCATCACACGTAACCCATATGACTGCAAGCCTTCACAGTCATAGGCGGAGGGTTTTTTAAGCTTTTAGGACGAAAGTGATTCTCAACTTCATGCCCGATTTCAATACAATTATGGAATAAGAGAATGCAGACCAACAGACACTGGAAGAGCATAAAGCATAGCTGTACCTTTCTGCCACTCATCAGTGTTAGAAACTCAGATATATAAGCTAGGTGCCAAATGGCTCCTTACACCAAGGTTACAGTCGCCAAAACAGATTGCCTAGTTGCCATTTTGGGGCCAGACAGCTAAGTCTTGTTTTTCAAATGAGTGGCTGTCACCTGGCTTGTTCAGATGACAATCTTGAGCTAGGTTAAGAACTTTGAGAACTTAAGGAAGAAAAGTCACTTTATCCACATATATATTGGCTGATTCCTACCTCTTTTTGTTAATGGTGGCATGCAGTGCTATTTTTCTAGAAAAAGTGGTGCCAGAACTCACCCTGAATGCGTCCCTCATCCTCTTAGAATAGCAATGGTGCCTACCTGAGAGGTGCTGGAACTCACCTGAGAGATGCCAAAACTGAGTTCATGAGTTCCAGCTGAAAAAGCCCTAGGCATGGACCATTCATAACGTAAGAATATTCTTCACAACTGCAAGCAGGGCACTGGGGCGGAGTAAGTGAAGTACAAGCTACAACAATTGACTATAACGTTGTTCAGCGCTCCTGTTCCAGCTGTACAGAAAAAGCATTTTGGTTCCTGAAATTCATTCTGATTGTGCATATAAAATATAACTGACATAATTCTACAGGATGTGGTATGAGTGTGTGAAACCTGTCCACATCCAAGGAGTCCCAGGCATGCACCCCGAGATGGTGGAGACGTCAGACAACATCCTGGCGCCCGGGCATCTTCACTTGGTCGCAAGCGGCTAATAATTTCAAACACTCCTTCCAGGCGTATAGTACAAAACGCCCCTGGGTGAAGAACAAAGAAGAGTGCCTGGGAAATAACATCATGAGGCACCTGTTAATACTGGCTTGGTAAGGAATCACATTGGTGCACACTCTTGCAAACCAGCTTTCTGCACGCAAGGGGGTGGGAAGGGTTTTCCACTCGTCTTGGACAAGCCATTCTTTGGCAATGGAAACAAAATCCTGACAGTTCCCATTTGCACACACTCTCCAGCCGCTTGAATCAGCACCAAAAAAAATCTCTCCAAGCTGAGCATCATATGAACATCTGAAATGGCCTTACACTCAGACCACGAGTCCACCCAGACCAGGACTTCCTGGTATTATAAAATTAATTTTGTAAAGAAATGCACAGCATCCCATTCCTCACAGTGGCCAACCAGATGCCTCAATGGTGAACGGACAAATAGGTCATGAACAGAACAGCATTCTGCCACTGATGTTCCCATGCAGTAACCTTCATTCGCAGGAAGGCCACCCTTGATCTTGATGGCAACATATAGCTCTCATGGCTGGTTGGCTTTGGCAGCCTTATTCTCCACAGCAAGAACCCTCGACGAAGATCATCACATGAGATAAACGCCGAAGGGCTGTAGATATATTGTAAAGGCCCTGGGCTGTATCCCATGCTGATCATACTCAGACCCACTGAAATTTGCAGACATGGCTAACCTAGGTCCAAGTATTCAATGGGTCTCCTCTTGAGTAGATGGGGCTCCTCAACCTGGGAAGGTGGCCCATTTAGAAGAAGAAAAACTCTGGTCCTAAATCTCCACTGCCTTGTGGCACATCTTCAGGAGAAGAAAGGCTAAGGGGCGAACCCTACACAAATCTGGAATGGAGTCCCTCAGATGGTTGGATGGCACCTTGTACTCCTCCTTCCAGCAACTCCTGCACTGACTGCTACTCCTCACTGTCTCAGGTAAAGATACGGTACCTTTTTATGTCCCTCGCAAGGCATCCAATCCATTGGATCCCCACAGTTCCTGTCCAAAAGCTCTGGAATTTTATGCCTGTTTAGATCAGGGTTTCCCGAACTTCTGAGTTCACTGATCCCTTTATGAGCTTATAAAATCGTTATTAACTGCAACCCAAATTCTTGGGAATGTAAATGAAATACAATCAAGAAAAATCAATATATAACCAACATTTATCTATCAATCACCATTCCCAGGAATCATTAAAAAAAAAAGTTTAAAGGAATATTGTTGTGCTGTGGAATCATCTTATTAAATTTAGAAGTTCCTCAATGGCAACAGAAATGCACTCTGTACATGCCCATATTTCTGGGGCTCATAGTTCCTAATTAAATTTTTCACTCTGTACCTCATAAACGCCTTTTCTAATTCCAGGCCTCCTCACCCTCTTCACAGACCCAAAACCCCAGGGAGAGGGGAGGGGAATATCTACCTGGAAACACTGGTTTAGATTGCAACCCACACTGTTATTATGCCCATGAATCCAGGATCTGTGCTACCCATCAGATTTATCAGTTCAGAAGCCAACATGAAGCATATGCAGGGCCAGCCCAAGATATTTTGCTGCTTCAGGTGAGGAACAAGATAGTAGTAGTAGCAATAGTAGTAGTAGTGGTAGTAGTAGTAGTACGTAGTAATTTATTTATACCCCACCCATCTGGCTGGGTTTCCCCAGCCTCTCTGGGTGGCTCCCAACAGAATATAAAAAATGTAATAAAACATCACACATTAAAAACTTCCCTAAACAGGGCTGCGTTCAGATGTCTTCTAAAAGTCAGATAGTAGTTTATTTCCTTGACATCTGATGGGAGGGCATTCCACAGGGCAGGCGCCACTACCAAGAAGGCCCTCTGCCTGGTTCCCGGTAACTTTGCTTCTCAGTGAGGGAACCGCCAGAAGGCCCTTGGAGCTGGACCTCAGCGTCCGGGCAGAACGATGGGGGTGGAGGCGCTCCTTCAGGTATACTGGGCCGAGGCCGTTTAGTGCTTTAAAGGTCAGCACTAACCCTTTGAATTGTGCTCAGAAACATACTGGGAGACAATGTAGGTCTTTAAGGACCGGTGTTATATGGTACCTCCTACTCCTTGGCTTACATGTTCAGAAACTGACTGGACTAGCAATCATGGCAATTCTGGCCACCACAAATGAGAGCAGTAGGCAAGTTTGGAGGGTGCATAGTACATACAGCCATCTTTCCACTACCTTGCTGCCACTTCCTGCCCTCCTGCCCAGCATCTGATGCCTGAAGGAGCTGACTCCCTCTGCCTAATGGTAGTACTGGCCTTGGACAGGCCTCAAAATAAAAAAGCATCTGCAATCTACATTGCAGTAGCAAAGCACATATGACTAAGATCTATGAACTCTGGCCCTGGCATGCCTGTCTATGGAGAGATGCCACTAAAATGCTATTCTAGTAAAACGCAACCAAAGCAATCCCTTTTAATGGTGAACTTTAGTTTCCATTTAGCTTCCTGCAGACTATTTTGAGACATTGCATTCTGAGATTTACATTCCTAGCACAAAGCTGCACTGGAAAACAAAACATGTCACAAGGCTTTGGTATTGAATCCCCTTTGGCTATGTCAATAAAAGCTAAAATAAAGATGTCTTGCAAGTGTGGACCATGAAGCAGAACCAGTAGCAGCTTGTGCTTGCCCAAGAATGGGAAATGCATGCAACTGCAGCCTGTGTGAAAATGGGGCTAGAGGGAAGCGCTGTATTTTAGGAATCCAAGCAGTTATGCTCCTTGGACATTCTTCATACTGGAGTACCGGTAGTGATAACCATGTACTTTTAGTGCCCAGTGCAGAGAGCAGTCAGTGCCTCCAAAATGTGGGGATGCTACAAGTCCCACTCATCCTGACCAGTCAATCCTCCACATCCGGGCTGTTGCTCGGTGATGGAGTAGGTGCTTTGCATACAGAAGGTTACAGAGGCAATCCTTGGCAAACCCAGGGATGAGCTTTGCCCTCTTCGATCCAACAGCCCTTCAGGAAGTCATGGCACTTCTGCATCTTTGAACTTCTCCACAGCAGGAAGGTGCTCAGCCAACATGGCTGCTCCCATCACTGCACCGCCTGGGAAGGAGAAGCCCCACCTACCAGCTCCCAAAGTGCTGAAAGGAAATAGGGCAAGCCAGAGCAAGCAAAATAAGCCCCAGCTTTCTAGCTGACTACACATTATTAAGAGTTAATAAGCCTTCTGCAGGGCTTGCACCCAAATTTGAACACAAACTCATTAAAAAGAAGAAGTCCCAGCCCCTAGCGAGATGTGAAGGCCAGGTGGGGGGTGGGGACAGAATAATGGGGAGGAGGTCCTCAATTTTTCCATTTTTCTTCCAGGCCTTCACATATCTAGGAATACAACCCTCAAGTTAAGCCAACTGCTGATGACTGGAAAATAAAGTAATTGAGATTTTCTTTAGACATTAATGGAGCTGCATTCCAGAGGAAGAGAAATTTTGGGTGCAACCCGCAACACAATTCCCCAGAAACACCTGTATTGAAAACAGGTAGATTTCAAGGATCCCACAAGGGAAACTGCTGCAAAATAGGTACCACAGGGATCCTCTTCACAAAAATGCAATTTTATTTCATTTACATATAGTCCCATTCTTCCAAGCTCAGAGCAGCTTGCAAGTGCGGAGGCATCGCTTGCAACTACTGACAGACCAACAGCCCCCAACACACACTTTAAAATATGTGTTGTGCATCCTTTCCAGCATCTTAGCCCCTGCTTTTCTTCATTGCAGATGCCTCTGTCCCAAGCATTGAGACATCCAGCATTTCCCATGTTTTGTATATGCAGGGCACAGGATTCACCCCCAGCGACACACTCCGCAGCAAAGCGCCCACTGCTAGTGTATGGGGCCCTGTAGGCGCTGCCACTCTACATTGTTATTGTTTCCTGTTCACCTGCCCAAGAGAAGAGAAGAAGAGCCCTCTTGGAACAGGCCCAAAGCTCATCTAGTCAGGTATCTTGCTGTCACAGCAGCCAGCCAGATGCCCACGGGAAGCCCGTAAGCAGGAGCCAAGCACGACAGGACTCTCCTCACCTGTGAGTCTCAGCAACAGCAGTAGCAACAGCAGCAGCAGCCATTCACATGCCTTCCATTCTTAGAAGCATAGAATTGTAGAGAAGGAGGGTCATCTAGTCCAACCCTCTGCAATGCAGGAATCTTTTGCCCAACTTGGGGCTCAAACCCACGACCCTGAGATTAACAGTCTCATGCTCTCCCAGCTATCCTGCATAGCAGTGCAAGTTGAGCCCAGGAAGGGAAAGAGAGATGGGGGTAAGCAAATGGACAGTTGTCACAGTGGAGGGGAGAACGTGGACCAAACTCAGGGCTTCACAACCAAGGATTCCCCCCTCTATAAACTCAAACAGATGCCATCTTTTTTAAAAAGGCTCCAGGAAAGCGAAACATTTGAAGGAGCAATCTACCTGCCCTCAAGCAAGTAAAAGAGAAGAAGCATCTTTGAACAAGGTCACAACTCAGTGGCAGAGTATGAGGTTCCAGCAGCCTGCTCCTTGGGAGAAAAGCAATGACAAACCTAGACAGCATCTTAAAAAGCAGAGTCATCACCTTGCCAACAAAGGTCCGTATAGTTAAAGCCATGGTTTTCCCAATATTGATGTATGGAAGTGAGAGCTGGACCATAAAGAAGGCTGATTGCCGAAGAATGGATGCTTTTGAATTATGGTGCTGGAGGAGACTCTTGAGAGTCCCATGGACTGCAAGAAGATCAAACCTATCCATTCTGAAGGAAATCAGCCCTGAGTGCTCACTGGAAGGACAGGTCGTGAAGCTGAGACTCCAATACTTTGGCCACCTCATGAGAAGAGAAGACTCCCTGGAAAAGACCCTGATGTTGGGAAAGATGGAGGGCACAAGGAGAAGGGGACGGCAGAGGACGAGATGGTTGGACAATGTTCTCAAAGCTACAAACATGAGTCTGACCAAACTGCGGGAGGCAGTGGAAGACAGGAGTGCCTGGCATGCAGGCACTCAACAACAACAACAACCATGAGGTTCCAAGCTCAATCTGTGGCATCTCCAGAAAGGGCTGGCAAAGACCCCCTGCCCAAAATCCTGCAGAGCTGCTGCCAGTCAGTGTAGACAATACTGAGCTAGATGGACCAATGGTCTGACTCAGTATAAGGCAGCTTGCTCTGCCCCAAAAACCACACATTCATATAAATAAGATTCAATGCGAAGAGCAACAGACCACAACCACCACCGCAAAATGATTAAGACCCATCAGGAAAAGGCAGAGCTTCTCAGAAGCTTGGAAGGAATCCTCCCCAGAATGACTGCTTTGCAGAAGGAGTAAACACAAGCCAAAGGAAAGTCTCTCTTTGGCAAGTGCAGCCAAAGTTTACCTTGGCAAAGCACAGATCTAGTATTCCTTCACTTTCCATTTGCAAGCAAGCAGCCATGGCAATTGCACACACTCCGTGTTCCGAGAGGCCTGCCATTCAAGGTTAGTCAACGCGTCCACACTCAGAGCGCACCAAATGCTCAGTCATCTTTCCCAGCAGTGAAACAAGGTTACGTAAGCAGGGAGGGAGAAGCAGGCCTGGGCCAGAAAATGCAAGCTTCCCTTGCAATTGTACAAGCGACTGGCAGGAAACATTTGGTTCTGGCCCATGTTAAGAAGAGAAAATGAAAGCTTTCTATTGACACATGTCAACACAATTCACTCCCCTCTTTCCTGTTTAAATTTAGATTGCACACTCCTTGGGGCAGAGGCCTATCTTTTTACACTTGCGTAAATACTGGGAAATGTCACATTGACACAATAATAAACACTTTCATCCAACTCTGAACTTTCCCCCTCTCTTCTTGGATGAGAAGCACAGGCCCAATGCAAGCCCGGCTCATCCACACTAGGCCAAGCACTCCCTAGCCCTGCTCTGGCTCAGTCTGGAGTTGAAAAAGTCACACCAGGAAGCCCAAGAGGACCAGACTATTCACCCACCATTCCTCCCTTCCACTCAATCCACAGATACATAAACATTTAAAATATAAAATCATTTTATCACTGTTCATTTTCTAAAACTTTCAAGGTTGCTTATGACAGCTTTGTAACTTTTCATGGGCTTTTAAAAACTGTTTATTAACTGTTATTTATTACATTTATAGTCTTCCTTTCCACCAATGAGCTTGAGCCTAGTAGCAGCTTGCATCTCCAGACTTGTTAACGCAGGATACTACCCTCTTAGTAGCAGACTAATAATAATAATGATCCCTTCTGCCAAGCAGGCTGGCAGAGGAGGGGTGGAGCTGAGGGGTGGGTTTCCCATCCTCCATGGCCAGCACAGAAGTGGATTCATGGAGTAAGAGGCAGAGAGATCTGCTCCTCCTCTGCCGGACCACCCACTCGCCTGCATGGAATTTCTAGTCGCCTGTGGCCACTGGGTGAGTAACAAACACAAGGGGTACAATGCAATCAATCAGGATAAAAAGCAGAGGATGAGAGAGCTTAAACAGTACTAAGAACACATCACTGATAGAATTTTAAATAGCTTGGGAAAATAAGAAGGGGGGTTGTTTTGTTACCAGCACCTAAAAGATAAGGGCATTCTCTACCTGGACTCCTGGCAAGGCAGACTCATACCCTGTCAGAATGAGTCTGCTTTGCCACTGACAAGAAGATGCACATGGACAAAGGGAGACCTTTGAGTCAACAGGGGCTAAAACTGATCCGCAGGCAATTAAGTTAAGGCATTTCCAGCATTGCTAGCCCATCTGACCGAAATTTCCTCCCCACCCAAAATGCAGTAAGCAGATCACGGGCAAGTCCCTCCACACTCCAGAAAACAAAATAAATCCTTTGACCATGCTTAAGAAAATGATTTTGTTGAGAAAAAAGAACGCCCACAGATAAAATGCAGCAGGCAGGTTTTTTGGTGCAAGAGCTTCTAGCTAGGATCCATCACGTCCATATTGCACAAACAGAGAATAAGGCCTTTGTGGCAGGCACTTTCCTGGGTCCTATTGAACACAGCAAGACTTATTCTCATGGACGGTACATGTACACAGGGTTCTGCTCTGAGCTGCATGGTATCCTTCGCCCAAGACCACGACATCTGCTTAACCCGTCACCTTCAGGTGACTCCCAGGGACCTGGGCCAGACAGCAAGCAGCTGCTCATGCACAGCCATCATCACCGCAGGCATCCAGCCCTGTGTGCCTGGTTAGCAGCACACAATAGCCACACAGCGGCCAAAAGGCAAACGGAAGGGAAATATGGGCCAATAGCCTTCTTAACGTGAACAGAACAAACTGACAGCCAAGATAGAGGTTTTTAGGAACAACCCTATTCCTGTGACTGTAGTTGGTTTCAAACAGTTTTCAGTATTGTAGTTTTTTAATTGCTGCAAACTGCCTTGGGACCTTATGGTGAAGAGAAGGAAAAGTATCAGATTAACAACCAACAACAACAACACCAAACTCACCAGCCATCACCTGAGCCACTCATCACATAATGGCACCACCTCAAGACATAATTCATTCCTTATGTGCAGGCAATTGCATACTTCAGTGCTCAATTGCTCATAGAAACACATGCTGCAGAGTCAAATGTGCCAGGAGGGATCGAAACCAGTTTTTTAATCAGTGCATGCAAAATGTTATAACACCAGGTTGTGCTTTGGTATCCTTACACGCATGTGCAGAAGTGATCTGCACACCAGGGGAGGGGACTGGACTGGGGGGAGACAGAAGGCACGAATGCGCCCATCAGTTGTGGCAAAGTTCAGGTAAGTGGGAGCCCTAAAGACTGGGGAGAAATTTGCATAAGGAGAATTTCATAATCCCTGTGAATAAAGGCCCAGAGCAACCTTCAGGACGGTAGACTCTTCCTGTTATGCCGATTACGCAACAGAACAAGCTTCCACAACAACTGCCGGAATGAATGCCCTCATTTGAGGCCGCAATTTTGAAGGCACTTTGACCAGGAAGACCAAGATATCACTGCCAAAGTAAGGCTGTGATGCAACTTAGGACTTTTGCTCTTACAGTTTCAAAGTTATTTAGTTCCAGTGGTGGCAGCAGAGGAAGGGAAGGGCAGAGAGGAGAGAAAATGCTGCTTTCAGTTTCTCACAGTCTCGCCAGGATTTTCAGTAAAGGGGGAAAAACATTTTTTGTAACATGAGGAAAAGTCCAAAGTAGTGGGCAAACCCCAAGAAGTGTCTTAACTGTTTCATAATCCTGTCTATTTGCCCAGCATCACAATGGAGTTATGGGAGTGCCAGATAAACAAATTTCTAGCCCTCAAATGTACAATGTTTGAGTTAAAAAAAAACAGTTGTTGTTTTCTACATCTCCAACCACTGAACTTCCTGCCCTTTCAGGAAATCTTCACATATCATCCATGGAACTCCTGTATGGGAAATCAGATTCTGGAAAAGGATCTATAATGCATGCAAAGTTCACCACCTCAAAAAGAGAGATCCGCTACAGATACAGTACATGTAAATATCCTGCTTGGTGTTCTAATTGAGAAAGCCTATTTCATCTCCTCCGAGTTTCTGGTTCTCCATCACCTCCAGCAAAACAAGGTCACAGAGAGTGCCAAGGAACAACGTTTAGAAAAGTGCTCGTCCAGCAGGCACACCCTGAGTCGGAGGATACAGTAAGCATTCATATAGCATTTTCCAAGTGTCCCTCACACAATATATTGTTGGAGGCATCATAAGAATAGCACATGGTAGGTCTATATTATTATTCTCTTGTGGTGCACAGGAGGAGCAAGGTTTGCCCAGCATGTTCACAGCAGAGCATGGATTTTTGAACCACTCCACATCCACACCAGACATTTTTCACGTGGTTCCCTGTGAAGGAGGATTGTTCAACTACTCTGGGAACTGCAGCTCTGTGAAGGGAATAGGGGTCTTCTAATGACTCTCAGCACCCTTAACCAACTATAGTTGGTTATGCTTTGGGGGAAGCATAGATGTATGAGTATTATGCTGCTTTAAATGGCTGGTGAGGATGTGGCCCCAGCTTAGTCTCTGACCCACTACACCAAACCAGGGATGAAGTGGGAGACTGTGCCCCCTTTGGGCTATCTTCCATAGTGTTGGGCCCTCCAGATGGTCAGAAATAATGAGAATTGCAGCCCAATCTGGAGGGGCACAGTGTTCCTCACCCCCCAATTAAAAGTTCCTCGAACAGAGCTTTCCCAACTTTTCATGTTGGTGACACACTTTTTAGACATGCATCATTTCACGACACACTAATTCAGTTTTACTAGCTACCCAGCAGGCTGCCTGCTCCCTTTCCAGCCCCAGGAGGAGCACAGGGAGTTTTTGCGTGACATACCTACACACTGCAGCTGACACACTAAAGTATCACGACACACAATTTGGAAAGCTCTGTCCTAGAAACTCAGTCTGAAAGTTGTCATCCTCTCATTTTAGGGAGATTTGGTTTTAGATTTCGAAAAGAGATTTTTCAAAAACTAGAACCAATAGAAGGCCTTGATTCACACGACTGGCTCTCCTGCTACACATCGCATAAGCGTTTTTCATCCAAAAAACAGGAAGTGCTCGTAAGCCATGCGAAGCAACTTTGTGTACACTTAATTCTGCCAAGCTCTGGCAACACACTCTGGAAAAGCATGCCAAAGCACACTTTTGAATAACTGCGTGGTGGATTAGAGCAGCGCAGCCAGGGAGGGATGCAAAAGTTCCTCTTTAGCTACTTAATCATCATGAAGCCAATTTTGCTGGAAGCAGGAGAGCAGAAAAGGGAAGAGAACCAAACCTCCCCCAGTTACCGTACTTTTCTGTGTATAACACGCCCCTATTTTGGGGGACTCAAAATTAAGAAAATGAGGAGGGGGGAATTCCCCGAAGTTCTTGAGTTCTTTTGGGGAGGGGAACGCCAAAAATCACTCACCCACCAGATAGACAATGCCGCTCACGTGCATCAACAAAACAAACTATCCTCATTGCCGAAAAAAGCAGCAAATCTCATTGTCCCATTGCCGAAAAAAGCAGCAAATCACCCGCCCAATTGCCACAGCAACAGCCAATCAACAACAGCTCTTGCAGCAGCCACCAATAACAATCTCCAACCCACGGCAGCAACCAATCCCACAGCCCCACAATGCACTACCCATGTATAAGACGACCTCAAATTTTGAAGATGTTTTTGGAATAAAAAAACATAGTCTTATACACGGAAAAGTATTGTATGTCATTTCAGAAGGCCATGTGCAACCTGCGACAGAGAAGAAATGAAAGCATTTCACCCTGTGGTCTTTCAGTGGTCCTGTGCAACCTCTTAAACATGCAGAAGATACACTAAGTCCTGATTAAACATGATGGGCAAGCAAGCAAAAACTTAGCCAAGCAGCATTCCGTGAAGCCAGCGCCTCATTCAAATGGACTGCAGCAATGCAATGCTTGCCCAAGCTACAAGTCACAGGCCGGCTGCTAACACTGCCCACTGCTGCTGCCGTCCCTGGTCTCTGAGCTGCCCTCCCCCAAAGAGAGGTGCCTCCTCACACTGCCCCACAGGGGCCTGGGAAGCACCCCCTGGCCAGCCCCAGAGGCACTATTCGCTGTGCAAGCCTTTGGGGGGCAGAGACGTGAGAGGGCATCCGAGGAGGGAGGGAAGGAAAGAGAGACAGAGGCCGGTGTTGCCTGCAGCACCCCTGACCATCTTTCATGGCACCCCAGGGCATCCTGGAGCCCCTCTCCTGCACCTACTCCCGGCTGGTAGATTGGAGGATCCTAGCAAAACAAAACAAATAGGTCACACAAGTCTGAAATTCTCACACACAGCATCATGTTCGAGATTTGGGCCTAAAAGCCAATCTACAATATGTGGATCAGATCACAGTTGGTCCACCACTGACAAGCACTGTATCTGCAAAATCAGCATGGATCTTCAGGTCAAAAACAGGAGCTTCACACAAGCAAACTTTTGATGAAGACCACAATACTGCATGAAGGACAGAGCTTTCATTCCCTCTTCTGCCAGACCCCGGCAATCCGATAAGATTTATGGGTTTATTTACAAAGTTGTGTGGATACCATGTCCAACATGTAGAGATCCTCACTGACCACAATGGCTGGGACTGGTGGGAGCTGGGGGTCCAGTCAGCAGCATCAGTAAGACAGCAGGCGGGTGATCCATGATCTAGAACAGGGGTGCACAACCTACGGCCCTTCAGATGTTTCTGGACTACAACGCCCATCAGCCCCAACCAACATAGCCAGTGATCAGGGATGATGGGAGGTGTAGTCCAACAACATCTGGAGGGTCACAAGTTGTGCACCCCTGGTCTAGACCGTCAGCCACTTGAGAGAAAGGACCTGTCTTTTTGCTTACAAACTTCAACCTTCGGTGGCTGTAGAACAAATCCCAAGGTCCCTTTCAGCACGTGTACACACATTTTAATGCATTTTATTTTGTGCAGAAGTAAGTCCCACCAACTTCACCCAGACCAACTCCCACATGGCTTGCAATCTTGTACCCTCTGAAGACTGGCTCATTTGAAAGAGCTTTTAAGTGTCCTTGCTTGAAGGCTGCCCTTTTGTAGCCTATATTTCATATTTTAGTTACCTTGCAGCTGGATTATTTCAGATTTTTTGTTACAGCTGTATTTGAAACATGCTTGTTAAGATGCCTTGTAGACTCCACTGTGGAAAGACTGGACAGAAAATATTTTAATTTTCATTGAAGTCCCACGAATATTGAGGTCCCTGTAATAATATGAATGATGTACCGTAATAGGTGGCTGACAAGGCAGATGTTGTTCTTCAGCACTTGTGGTGAAACTGGAAGGCCTGAACACAGAACAACCATCTCTCCCAGCAACCCCCAGATTAAAAGTTGATAGCCAACTAAGTCAAACTTAAGTTTCTTAACTCTACTGATTTCAATATGTCTACTCTAATTTGAGTAACATTGGGTATCACGTGTAGAAGTCATAGGACTTCTGAGAACCATGAATTTGGTTTCTGCTGTGTTGCTTCCTGGATCCTTCAACCCACATGAAGTGAACTCCACAGCCGTAGGCATAATTTTTTAAAAGCAAATTTTCCAACTGCACAAATCCCCAAAAACAATATAAACACGAAGCATCCTGGACTGCTTGCTTACATTCTGTATGGGGGGGGGGTTCTCCCCAGGAGTCAATATATTTTAGCTACTGTACAGAAACAGTTCAATAATGATTCTGCTAAGTTCAGACACCAAAACAAGCAGCATATGAAGGTATTTTAATTTATATGCCGCCCTCCCCAGCCAAGGCCAGGCTCAGAGCGGCTTACAAGCAATAATAAAAACAAGTTGAATGATTACAACTTAAAAACAAAACTAAAATACAACATTAAAATATTGAAACATTAAAATATTCAAATGTAGCCTCATCACAGGAGGAGAAGGAAAGGAAAAAAGAAAGAGAGGGAGGGAATCAAATTGGCTCCAAGCCAAAGGCCAGGCGGAACAACTCTGTCTTACAGGCCCTGCGGAAAGAAATCAGATCCCGCAGGGCCCTGGTCTCATGAGGCAGAGCGTTCCACCAGACTGGGGCCAGAGTTGAAAAGGCCCTGGCTCTGGTTGGGGCTAATCTGACTTCCTTCGGGCCCGGGACCTCAAGGGTGTTGCTATATATGGACCTTAAGGTCCTCCGTGGGACATACCGGGAGAGGCGGTCCCGTAGGTACGAGGGTCCTAGGCCGTGAAGGGCTTTAAAGGTCAAAAGCAGCACCTTAAATCTGACCCTGTACTCCACCGGGAGCCAGTGCAGCTTGAAAAGCACTGGGTGAATATGCTCCCATGGCAGAGACCCCGTGAGGAGCCTCGCTGCAGCATTCTGCACCCACTGGAGTTTCTGGGACAGCTTCAAGGGCAGCCCCACGTAGAGCGAATTACAGTAGTCAAGCCTGGAGGTGACCGTCGCATGGATCACTGTGGCCAGGTCGGGGTGGGAAAGGTAAGGGACCAACTGCTTGATGCGGCAAAGGTGGAAAAATGTCGCATAATAAGATATGGACAGTGTTAAGTATGGAATCTGAGCACATTCTACCTTAACAAAATTTGTTTACCTGCTGACCCTGATGATACCTGTAATTTAAGCGCTTAGATAAACACACACACTGAATGTATCTAGCTTCCTGCCCCAACCCAATTTTTTCCTCCAAAGTGGATATTATCAACTTTTCAACTGCACATACAAAAATTCCTACTCCACATTTTGTCTGTAAATGTGCACTAAACAAAAACTAGGCCAGAGGATTTGAAACTTTTCATCTCCCAAGCACAGACTCAGTTGAGAAATTTGCCATTTGCTGCAGGAAGAGAAGAGCTCAGGACCATCGCCAAATGGCAGAGGACATACTTTTTGTCCAAGGGGCTCCTGTTCAGCCACAGCACCTCCCAAGTTTTCTAGGAATGCAATTCAAGCCCCCTGCAGCCTTGCAAGAACCAGGTCACAGCCACACCACGCATTCAAACCACTCTTATACCACTTTAATAGTCTTCCCCCAAAGAATCTTGGGAACTGAAGTTTGTTAAGGGTGCTGGGAATGGTAGCTCTCTTAGGGGTCTCCTAACAACTCTTGGCACCCTTAAGAAATTCAGTTTATAGGCTCCGTTAAGGGTGCTGTGAGTTTTTAGAAGACTCCTCAGAGAACTATGATTCCCAGTAACCTTAACAAACCACATTTCCCAATGGGGAAGACATAACTACTGAAGTATAAATATGCTTTAAATGTACTGTGTGGGTGTGACCCCAGTCAACACAGAAATCAGCTTCAAAGTATATGGCTCTAGGGGGCCAGGGATGGAAAGAACAGGGGATAAATTGGACATGGGTTACCTGTGGCTCACAAATGCTGCTGGGGTACAAACTGTATCAGCCTCAACAAGCATGGTCAGTAGTCACAGCTGCTGGAGTTGTAGCCCAACCATTTCCGGTGGGACGAAGGTTTCTCATCCCAATGAGAGATAGAGAGACCAAAGCCCAGAGTGGGGGGGAGATGTCCAAACAGGGAGAGGGGTAAGGAAGATAAGGGAACCCCTTAAAAAAGCTCTCTTGGCATGGGCAGCCGAGTTCGACTCCACCAAAAACTATAGTTGTTGTGATGGTCAACTGACAGCTGTCAAACATTCCATGAAACCACGAGGCTTCAAGACCTGGTCTACTTAGCATAACTGCCTTAAAAAAACTGATGTTTTATTTTTCTCTTTTTTGTTATGTTTTTAACTGTAGGTTGCCCCTGGGGGTTCAGGTGCATGTATATGTCACTATTTTACAATTGACATGAAATTTATTTGTTTTTGCAATTAGCACAGATCAGCTTTCACCAATTACTGCTATATATTGAACGGCAAAGTGTTCAGCACATATCCACATTTTCAAGTTCACCAAGCTGAGATTTATCACGTAATTTAATGCCAATAAGACTCTCCCTGTCCCTCTACCTCCCTTGTTTCTTTAACATGTTTTACAACACTCTAAACCTTTAAGCCTGCCAAATCACCACCTTGGAAGAATTAAAAGGAGAGCTCAAAGATGGTTTCATAAGCCAGCTGACGTAGTTCTTCAAAGAAAGCATCTTCCTTCAGTCGTAGAGGAAATGATTTTAAGTTCCTTATCCATAAAAGAGTGAAGAAAGGGGACCCATCACCAAACTCAGAAGTCTCCACTTCCTCCTACATGTGATATACAACTCCCTAAACCACCTGCTAAACTCTAACCATTTGTTAGCTATGCAATGACCGTCATTATGTAGCTTCACCCCAAATCTGCCTGGCAGTGTCCGAATTCTGTATTCTCCTACCATACTGCCAGGGAATAGGGATGGTGGGCCGGGGTGACAAATTCATTTCATATTTAAAGGCAAACCTACCTAATGTGTACTTTCCAAAATAATGCATGAACTGAAACTCAGTCATCCTTCCAAATTCTGCAGTGCAATTCACTGGCCAGGAATGTGTACAAAAATGCATATACAAGTGTGCAGAAAAAAGCACAAAGATGCATTATATCAGGGAAACACGCTTTTCAAAAATGTGTGCATTAGGCAACACTGCATTCAAATATATGCATATTAGGAGAAATTTGCACTAAAATTCTGGTGGATTTTCATGAGAACATAAAATAAAATTCACAAACTGATATAGAAATGTGGATAGCTGAACTTAAGAATGGAATAATAAGAAACTGCGAGATGCTGAAATTGACATAGTTCCTCATCCCCCCTCCCCCCGGACTGGGCTTTGGAGTGGGACTCCATTTCTCCTATTCCACTGGGCTTTGAACGGGAGGGGGGGGGGTCTCATCACCTAACAATATGGAAGAACCCCAACCCAAATTCTCTAGCATGCATAACAATCCTGATAAAAGGTCTATGACAAATTCTAGATTATGTCAAGCCAAGAACTCTTAGCTGGGCATTTGGCTGATTAACATTCTATGGCTTTCTAATGTGTTTGTGGGAGGGAGGTTATTGGTTTATTTTTGTTTTATTATGTATTTTGTATTCTCATTTTGTATTTTTATAATGTGAACCACCCTGGAATCTTTAGATGAAGGGTGGTATGCAAATTTTAATACTAATAGTAATAGTAATAATAATGCTTCAAGAGTCTATAAAAATGTAAAGGCGTGAAAATGTTCTTACCATCATCCGCTTCTTAAACAGCAGTCACAAATCCAAATAAGTAGAGCCGTTTAATCTTAGTTTTCAAAAACTATGCTCACTTACATCTGACATATTTAGAAAAGTCCTGCCACCCTCCGGCATTCCCTGCTGCAAGCAATATAACCAACCAAGGACCATCCGCGGCTCCATTGCAGGGCATCTGCCTTGTGTGCAGGAGGTCCCAGTTCCCATTCTCCGCATCTCCGGGCCGGACCAGGAAAGGCGCTTGCCTGAGACCCTGAAGAGCAGGTGCCAATCACGGTAAACAATACTGAGCCAGAGGGACCAACAGTCTGACTCGGTAGAAGGCGGCTTCCTGCATTCCCGTGTGTTTTGGATGTTAAGATTACACGGCATTATACAAAGAAAAATGTAAGTGCATTTGTTGAGCCCACTCAATGCAAGGAGATGGGGAGTAAGAAGCGGTGCACAATTTGGTATAGAATCCTGCCCTATGTTTCGGAGGTGGTACACCAGAGGAGACTATCTATCATCAACAGCAAGCTTCAAATTTATGGGAATGAACAATGAAGACAATGCTTCTTTTTTTTCAAACAATAGTACCGACCCATGCTCAAGTCTCAATGACAACCTTGTTACCTGCTTCTTTACTTCATTCTAAATGTGTTGGGGAAAGCTACATTTGGCTCCGGGGTTTGGGAAAGGCGTTCTGCCCATGTTCAGTGCTGCCCTTTATTAAAAGGGTGTGCAAGTGTGTCTCTTTTTTTACTTCACCTACCCCACTGCTCCCACTTCAAACAGCTCCTACAAGTTCATGATCATCACCTGTGGCTCACCTGCACCTGCCACCTTCAGCAAAGGATTACACAGAGATGACTGAACCACCACCAAACCAGTCATTACTGCTTATTTACCAGCATTTCTCTCACACGCAAAAGAATTTAATGTGTTTAATCCACTTTACAAAGGGGTCCAACAGGTTAGCTCCTAGTTGCACAAGCTTGAGTATTATTAACTTGACACTTGGAAAAGGAAAGCAGGCAATTTGTTTTATAACAGTGGAAGCTACAATAGGACAATACAAGATGGACTCTGACCTCAAAACGCCAAGGCTGCATCTCAGGTTATGCCACTTGCTCCTTCCATCACCAAACGCTCTGCAGAGCTGGCCGACCCACGAGGCAAGGTGAGGCAACTGCCTCAGACAGCAGGATCTACAGGGGCAGCAGATCCCGATGTAGATCTTTATTACCCCCTTGTTCCCAATGTTCTCCACTCATTGTTTCATGGTGCCATTTTGTGTTTCACCTCAGGTACCAAAATGTCTTGAGCCAGCCCTGCTTTCTGTCCTGGCTCTGCGCCCAGCCCTAAACTACCATGGCCACCCTCCAACTCAGAAATACCACCTCCCTCAGGTAGGAGCTGGGCCAATCAGATTCCTGGTACCTAATCACTAAAATACGGGAGCTGGGTTCTAGGAATCTGAAATAGTTCCCCAACTCTGATTAGAAGCATCATTCCTCTAGGTAGACCTCAAGTAAAGAGTTGAGAATATTAAAGAGTTCGATCAAGCGAGGGGCAGATATACATGCTATGTGGAAGATGAAATGGCGGTGTGAAAACCAATGTTCCTTGAAGTACCATGGGAAACGTATGAAGATGTTTTAAACATGTGTACAGGATTCCCACTGCTGCAGCAGATGTCAGAGCGATAGCATGAACATAGGAAGCTGCCTAATACCAAGTCAGACCAGACCAGACCAATAATGTCTACACTGACTGGCAGAGGCTCTCCAGGGTTCTTCCCCAGGGATTGAACCTGGGACCTTCTGCGTGCAAAGCTCACACTCGCTTTTTGAGCTGTGGCCTTCCTCTGTTCACAGAGCAGGCACATTTGCTGTGCATAGCACAGCATAGCAGACAGGAGACAGCTACTCCCAAGTCAAGCCTTGAAAAATTCCCTGGCATTCAAGATTGAACTTAGCAAAACTTGAGATCAGGGAATCGCCACCCAGCCACAAGAACAACCGAGGGAGGGAAGCCAGCCACCCAACTGCATTTTCCCTCACTCTTGAGCAACACACGAATTCCTGCTCCAAACCAGAGTGTGCTTCGCAAGGCAAGCAAGTAGCATATTGCCACATTTTTGTTAATGAGAGTTGTAACGTCAGGCACACACCCATGCTGTTACCAGACACAACCCTGCTGCCAGACCTCTTTTGCAATCAAGTGAGTGGCAGAAAGCATTAGCCTATTATACTAAATATTGCTAGAGAACGTAGAATGATAGCATCTTCAAATATCTAAAGGGCTGTTGCATGGAAGAGGAAGCAAGCTTGTTTTCTCCTGCTCTGGAGGGGAGGAATTGAACCAACGGTTTCAAGTTAGATGAAAGGAGATTCCAACTAAACATCAGGAAGAACTTTCTGACAGTAAGAGCTGTTCAACAGTGGAACGGTCTAGATGACCCTTGGTGGTCCCTTCTAAATCCACAGTTCTATGATTCAATGAATGTGTGTTTACAAATGAGACTAAACCAGATCAATGAGGGGTGGGAAGAATGGCTCTTTTTTTTTTGTTAAAGCAATGTTAACATTAGTCTGAGTTCTGTAGGCTGCAATCCTATGCATACTTACTTCCAGCTAAGTTTTGCTGGACACAATGGGACTGGATTCTGAACAAATATGCTTAGGATTGCACTGGCAATTGATTTGAACAATGAACACACACGCGTATGTCAAGAAATTGGATAATGCAGTCTTGCTGGCAGATGGGCAGGGGAACTCCATGATGCCTCTTCAGCAATAATGCCAAAATGGTCACCAGAGCTCACTTCTAAACACTCCTGCGAAGTGCCTGGTAAGAGCCTACCACCAACTGAAATGACAGGAGGGAAAGCAGTTCACCTGTTCATCTAGGAAGGTGGTGCAGTCATCTCCAAGTAACAGAACGCAGGAGAAGGGCTGCTAAACTGAGCATGGGGAAAAGGAGACAAGACTTTTACTCCAGATTGAAGATTACCTAGAAATTTAATATTTAGCAGCAGGAGAACACCAAGTCCTGCAGCCACCATTCCTCCTACTGTATACTCACTAACACGAATTAGGCACATTCTCTCCTTAATCCTGACTGGGATAACATAACGATTACGGTGTTCACAGGGTTAACAGTGCCCAGTGCACTGGAGAAACTAGCAGTGGCGTGCAGTGATATTTTTCATAGTGTGAGGACGACTGGGGGCGGGGGTCACACACATCCCTCCCTAAGCTGGGCAGAAGCTTCCTGGGCTTTGGGAAGGAAGAGCCAGGCTTTAATACTCCAATTTACTAGGCACATTTAGGAGACTAGCCTAGTCCCCCTGGTCCACAGACTGGTTAAGAGGGGTGCTCTCTGCCAATGATTCACTGCACAGAACATCAGCATCTCTTAGGCTGCGTACCTGACATATATTTAAAGCACACACTCCCCTAGTAAAATATATTTTTTAAATCCTGGGAACTGTAGTTTGTTAAGGGTGCCAGGAACTGTAGTAAACTGAAGTTCCTGAGATTCAGGGTGGAGGAAAAATGTGCTTTGAATGTATATGCATCCTTAGTCTCAAGTCATTAGCAGAAACAGCATTTCCAGCTGCAGTGCTGAAGCACAAATATTAGATCGCAGAAATATGCAGAGTGAGTGGATCCTATTTGTAAGTAGTAGTAAAGGCAAGAAATGGCAATTTGAGGATATGGGTGGCGGAGGGCAGCCAGCAAAACACGCCCCTCTTGGCTTAAGGGGCGGCGGGGGGGGGTGTCAGTTGCGACCTTTACGGAGATGTTGCTTGTAAGAGCCCAGATGGCACTGCCATGCTGCAGACAGCCCGGGAACTGCCCCCCCCGTCTCGCTCTCCTGAAGTCAAAGGCGAAGGGGAGCGGCGCCCGGGAGCCACGCGAGGACGAAGAAACACATGGCAGCCGCTGCCACTCGGACGGCGGAGCCCCAGCAGCCTGGGGCAACGAGGACTGGCCCGAAAGGGGGCAGGGGAAGCGCGCCCCTGCCCCGGGGCAGGCGAGGGGTCTCCCGGCTCCCCCGCCGCGCGCCCTCCCGCCGGCTCACCTTGACGGAGTCCACGGGGTACATGACCGTGTGCTCCAGGATGCCGGCCACCGCCCCGGCCATCATGTGCGTGCCCAGGGTGGCGCTGGGGGGCAGGCTCTCGTACTCCTCCTCGCCGGGGCTCTCCACCTCCATCAGCAGCCCGGGACCCGCCGCCGCCGCCGACGCGGGGCCGCCCCCCGCCGCCCCCGCCGGGCTGCCGCTCCTGCCCCCGACGCCGCAGCTCAGCGCCATCCCAGCCACAGCCCGAGCCAGGCGGCAGCTGCCGGGAAGAAGAGAGCGGGCGCGCAGGGAAGGAGGAGGAGGAGAGAGAGAGGGAGGGAGGGAGGGGAGAAAGTTCACTTCTTCAAGTAACACCCCCGCCCCCCCCCGCCCGCCCCCCGGCCCCGCGCCGGCCAATGGCTGCGCGCAAAAGCGGGCGAGCCATTGGCAAGGGCCGCCCCTCGCCGCAGCCTCCTGGCAGCCCCGCTGCAATCCTGCAGGCGCGCGCCGTGACTCACAGGCCGGCCAGCAAATCCCCGGGAGCAGAAAGAGCGAGGCGCTCGCCCACTGGGCGGGATCGGGTCCTGCCTTGTTCCCGCCCCGCTGCAAAGGGGAAAGCCAAGTGCTCTACTACTACTACTACTACTACTACTACTACTATTATTATTATTATTATTATTATTATTACTACTACTATGCCACGCTCAGAATGCAAGCAGGCACAGTCAAGTTGACTTGGGCTGCTGCTGGCTCGAAGGAAGACGGCTTAAGGCGGCTTGCCAACATAAAATAGCAGGTTCCTCTTCTCCAGAACGGGGAGTGAGTTGCGGCACGCGTGCATGCAGTCTGCGGGCTTGCAACGCATGGCAGGTTTGCAAAGAGCAGCGCCTTGTGATGACTTCACGGGGCCAACTCGGGAGCGCATGCAGGGGCGCGCGGAGACTCCGCGTGGAGTTTGGGGTGCGTGACTCGCTTTACTGCAAGGGTCTCCGCCGTGGCAATGAGGAAAACACATCCGCATGTAACAAAGTCTCCAGAGCTTGCGTTACCCATTCTGTTTCCAATGACAGTCAGGACTTGGTGGATATGCTACTAATTGGATTTCTCTTGGTAGCAGCACCTATGGTTATAGCCACATTTTGGAAGGTGCGAATGTAATGCTCGGTGCAAGAGAATATGGCGTATCACCCTTACAGAAAAATTGACTCACAAATAAACACTGGCAAAAGGAACAAAGCAGGAGAATGATGGAGCTTCGTTTTGTTTACAAATTCTCCAGAAAACCAATGACCCGCTCCAAAGGTTTGTACTAACATGTGGATCAACTCTACAATTCTATGATTCTACGAGTTTTATAGGTGTATACTGTTACAAGGTGTGGTGTGTAGTATATACAGGAATAAATACAGATTTTCATAATGTATTTTTGTGGATTTCTGGTGAAATAAATAAAATGAAAATAATAAAATGAAGAGGTATTATAAATATAATTTTAAAAAACATTCCAAAAAAAATGTCAGTAATAAACTTAAAATGCAAGATGAAGGTATTAAAGCAAGATGTTAAATGGAAAGAAATAAAAACAACTCAGATATCTTAGGCAGTGTACACATGGCAGTTTAAAGTGGATTTGGTCCACCCCATGTGTGCATGTTTTCCATGCAACACTGTTCTCATCCAAGGGGCAACCTGCACTTTCATTTACTTTGCATTATCCCAAACCACTGAGAGTGATGTAAGAACAAATTCAACATGCCAGTCCATGTTATGCATCTGTGGACATATTGTGTGGGCAGGAATTTTTTTAATAGTGCCATCTATCACCACACCACCTCCTCTTGCCAAGGCTGCTGGTGGAGTCAGGAGGGAGGCAGCCACACTTTTAAATTTTATTTTTAACCCACCATTTTGTGGAAGTCTGGTAGGACTGCACAACAAAACAAGTCTGTGGAAATCCATGTGTCCGTGGCAGGTATCTCTTAGCTCAGCGCAGGCAATTAAAAAAGGAAAGTGCTAACCGTCATGCTTGTCCCTTTTTTTTTCTTCCCCCCCCCCTTGTTTTATTAAATTTGCTTAGTAACATAACATTATTATATATATTCTATAAAACAAAGAATACAGAACAAAATTCATTCATACTACAAAGCCTAACTACTTAACATTAATATATATGGTTTCTGAAAAAAAGGCTGACATAACAAAATCCATTCAAAATACCATCCGGTTTACTCCCCCCCCCCTCCCCACTGCAACCCACCCCCACCCCCCAGGTCAGGCCTTCCTTCTTCATATTTTTATCCATGTACACAGTCTGTTCATTCAGGCTTGTATGTTAGGGTTGGCTTCCCCTCTTTCTATCCAGTTCCTGTAAAATGCCCATTTATTTGTGATTCTTTGGCATTTATTTTCCCATCTATCCTCTACCACTATCTGTGTGAATATTTCTGATTGTACGTATTCAAAAACATAATCATTCCATTTTTCCATACTCCATTTGGCCTTTTCTTTCCATCCCAAAGCAATAACTGCCATTCCAGCTAGAATCATAATCTTGTACAACTCTTGCTTATTACTCTTTACTTTGTTATTTCCCAGTATTCCCAAAAATAACAAATCCCTATTAACTTCTATGTTTATTTGAAATAGTCCAGAAATTACCTTTATAATCTTTTGCCAATATTCCTTAACCAGATTACATTCCCACCACATGTGTGAATATAGTCCTTTTTCCTGACCACAATGCCAGCATTTGGGACTAAACCCTTTCACTATATACACCATTTGTGCCGGAGTTCTATACCATTTTAATAAAAAAATTCTACTTAATTCTTTATACTTTTCTATTTTAATATTGTTTATATTCTTCATCAATTCTTGAGCCGTGTTTGGATGGATCATACCTTCCTGCTCCCATTTAATCTGGATTAACCTTATCATTCTTTCTTTGTCGCTTATCATCAGTTTATATAACATCCCTGCTATCCCTTTCTCCGTTATTTGTCTTTTGTTCAGCACCATATCTATTTTCATTTCTGTCCTTATCGTTTCCTCTACTCTTTCCGTTTTTATTAAATCATAAAGTCCTTGCACTTTCAGCCAATATTGTTTTCCTATTTTTTCTAAAAAAACTTTTTTTGTAATTAAATTCCCTTCTTCATTGAACATATCTTTTAATTTATAAAATCCCTGATCTTCTAATTTCTTCCACCAACCCGGTTCCCTTTGACCCTCCTGCATATATTTTAATGGCGTCCACCTTGAGTATGTTGGCATCCATTCTGTATTCCAATTCTTCCAAATTCCTAACGCAGTTTTCCTTGGTCCTATTGTCTTCTTAAAAGCCGTATTAATATCTCTATTAAATATCCCTTCTCCGTCATGCTTGTCCCTGTGGATCAATTTGCAGCACAGATAATGTCAGGTGAGGGTTCAGAATGTGCTAAAACCCCTTGTAGGCCTTGTTCATCCACACAGGCCTTTCTCTGCACTGTATAGATGGAAGCAGAGCCTGCAGTCCATTGAAGAACCTTTGGCCCTTCATATGTTGCTGTCTCCAATTCCCATCAGTTCTAGCCAGGATTGACAGTGCTCAGGGATGATGGGGGATGCATAGCCGGGGGGGCTGCTCCCCCCCATCAAGTAATAATAAATAATAATTTTTTTATTTATACCCCGCCCTTCCCGGTTCAGAAAACTGGGCTCAGGGCGGCTAACAACAAATTCAAAACACTTAATTGTGATACAACAAAAAACAGCATAAAATATGGTATAAAAGCGTGAATAACAATAAATTCAAAAATCAGTTTAGGGGGGAAATCCATCCAATAAACATTAGATGATCACCAGGGCTAGCTGGTTAAATTAGCCCTATTTGGGCCAGCAAGGAGACCAGGGGAGAATTAGCTGTGGGATCCCAGAGTGGGTAATCTTCATAAAAAGCGGGGGGGGGGGGGTGGAATAAAAGATCAGGCTAAGTTCAAATTGAAAGCCAAGCCTGAAAAGGCTACACTCTGTCTTATAGGCCCTGCGGAAGGAGGTTAAATCCTGCAGGGCCCTGGTCTCATGGGACAGAGCATTCTACCAGGTCGGAGCCATCACTGAAAGGGCTCTGGCCCTGGTGGAGGATAGTCTGACTTCCTTAGGGCCCAGGACCTCTAAACTATGGACCTTAAGGTCTTCTGCAGGGCAGACCAGGAGAGGCGGTCCCGTAAATACGCGGGCCCTAAGCCACAAAGGGCTTTAAAGGTCAAAACCAGCACCTTAAACATGACCCTATACTCCACCGGGAGCCAGTGCAACTGGTAAAGCACTGGGTGAATATGCTCTCATGGCAGGGACCCCGTGAGGAGCCTCGCTGCAGCATTCTACATTCTGCAGCCACTGGAGTTTCTGGGACAGTTTCAAGGGCAGCTCCACATAGAGCGAATTATAGTAGTCAAGCCTGGAGGTGACCGTCGCATGGATCACTGTGGCCAGTTTGGGGCAGGAAAGGTAAGGGACCAACTGCTTAATGTGGCAAAGGTGGAAAAATGCAACTGACCAATCACATCAGTTCTGCCTCTGCTAACAAAGTCCTCCCCCCCCCCAAAAAAAATCCTGGCTACACCCATGGTTGCTGGGATAAGGATTTGAGCAAGGACTTGAGAGAGAAGTGTATCTTAGGCCTGACTGACGCAGGTAGCCAGCCAAATGCAGTGGTGGGAGAATCTTGAGTAGAGAGAATAGACTCTATGGCTTCAGACAGCAGGTGGAGGGATCCTGCTTTGGGATGCTCCCTCACATGAAAGCCTCCCTGCAAGTGAAAACAATGAAACATTAGGAAACTTCCTTGCTGATGGCTGCATTCCCTCTGCAACTATCGGTTGAGGGGCGCATGCTGGCAGTAAGCAGGGCTGAAGCCAACTGTGAGCAGGACCAATTCCTAAAATGGGTGGTGCCTGAGTCAAAAATGAGGACCATGGTTTGGCCATCCCTGTCTTAGGACATCAGGGAGAAAAGTTCTGGCCTATCCTGCTCACTGTTGCAGCAGTTTCCTACCTGTGGGGAGTCATTCAGGGACAGGAGCATCATAAATGCACCCCCCCCCACACACACACATTCCACCTGCTGCCTCCAGAATCCTACCACCAAATCTCACTGTGGTCACTTCCACACTATACAGTGAAAGCGCATGGCTTCCCCCAAAGAATATTGGAAACAGTAGTTTGTTAAGAATGCTGTGAACTGTAGCTCTGTGAGGAGTAAACTACAGT